GCATCCTCATATCATTGTGCAGTCCACTCAGAAAGAGACTGCCTACTTCTCCGAGTAATCAATAAATGGAAACAWTCKTTTGCATCAGATCATGAATGAAAGTGTGTGAAGTGATTAATACTGTTTAGAGCGGGAACACATGTTGGGCATCACCCACACACATTGATCAAACCCACACTCACTTAGACACTGGGATAGGATACTTGTTGTTTTCCTGGAAACACCAGTATAGATCCTGCACTTACTGCAGCAGGCCTCTAGCATAAGAGTCAATGGAATGACAGGTTCAGATGTCATTCGATTAGTGTCCAATTCGAATAAATCAAGTAGTAATTACTTTAGTTAGTAGTACTACTCCTCACTTACCCGAACTCGTGCGTCAGACAAGGTAAGAGAGAGACTATAAGTTCGAAGAAGTGGACAAGTCCGGTGTTGTGTCATTCTGAATCAATCAATCATTCATTCATTCAAACAATCTAACTTATATTTATAAATAATTAATATCTATATTTGTATTTGTAATCAACATCAATAATATATTGTAAGTTGTACTATATTTGTTTGTATGTTTGTTGTTGTTCATCACTTCATGTTCCCTGGGTTGTCCAAGTCCAATTCCCCCAATTCCAAGTCCAGGCCAACCCAAGGCCAAGGACAAGGACATTACCTTATACAATATCCAATGTTTAATTTAAGGACCAATACCAAAATACAACCTCACAAACACAATAATCACAAATGCATTACTTAACTTGATTGTTTAGAATGTCAACCAACTTTGACACTTGTAGTCTGCCATCCACATCCATCCGCCAATCACTCAATCGATCAATCAAAAGAACCCAACACCTCAATGTCTTGTTATATCAAGTCATCTTCCACCTTCATTTAATAACATTCGTCAGATTGTTCCATGGTTGGACATGTCCAACAAGTCACATTAACAATTAACATCATTTTTATTGTTATTTATTTAACAATGTCCAAGGAACTTTCCAAACCCGATTACTATGTCCACAACCAATTGAATGATCGTCGTTGTTGTGAACCCCCTTCACTCACCCACACACACTCGACGGGGTTCCAATCACAACTATTTTGGAACTGATCACCCATATCCACGACATTGTTCGTCATTACGCACCAGGCCCAGGTGATCGCCCAACCGGCATTGTCATTAGTCGTGGGTTAACAAGATAATTTGTATTACCTCACAGCCTTGGATATCGATTGAAACCCCCACACCTGTGTACTCATAAGCGCACCATCTCCGTCAAAGATGATGAGTGATCGCTCACCTACCATCTTGGTTATTTAAAGAATCGTTATCAGACCCATCATATCCCTCTCTCACTCTCATCCACACTCTCTCTCTTTAGTATTAATTACAACAATACATTTGTTGTACAACAACAACACTTCGCCTTTGTAAGCATCTCTATCTAGACCCCACGCGTGTGGAGTCTATCACATTCACACACCCGCGGCTCTGATTGACAATCATCGGATGCCCCCAACACTCAACCCACCTCCCTCTCTCGTATTATGTGTATTGCAGAGTACGTCATCATTATTGCACCAGGCCAATGTAATTAATAACTGGCTATTCTACATTGTGTGTGTGTATGAATGATGATGACCAGTGACAGTATGTGTGTGTGCCTTTACCAACAGCCAAACCACGAATGACTCAGATGGCAAAGGCCATCACACCCACGCACGTCGACCTTCCCAACCAACAAACCAAGAGTATTTATAAATACTGACCACCTTTCATTCAATCAATCAATCAATCATATACTATATTCTTCGATCTTCCAACCAACACATATATACAGGTATTGAATTGTTAGATTAACTTAAGATATTTCAATCCGTATCAGTACGATTCGTTCGTCTTTCTCAACCCCAACCGACTCGACCTCGGGATACACCCCTCCCCAGGTAGGTACCAGTGTCAAAGTTTATTTTTGCACAAGGGTATGAGTGTGGACCTCTTTCGGCCCAGCCCTTGGACCAAGGGTCCCGACCCCACACACACGACCCAAAGGATCAGTCATCCTGTCACACTCATGACGATACTCAAATAACATACTAACGTCACGTAATGCTTGGCATTGATGTCTCCCTCCCTTTCCAGATCGTTCTCGACATTCTGTTTTAGAACTTGCAAAGCAATAACTGTTTAAACAGATATATACACACATAACAACATACATCAAACTATTGTTAGTTAGAACAGAGAATGGACGATACATCAACTCCAATCTCTGACAATAACAACAACAGTAATAATGATGTTGTGGATTCTACTCCCAGTCCAGTTGTAGACAACACAATATCATCATCAGACACTGCCCCACTTGTCTCTGATCACAACAACAACAACAACAACAATCACAATGACAATAACAACAACCACAACAACAACAACAATCACAATGAGGATATTGACATTGATACAACAAATATTGACTTGACGATGGCCGGACCAAACCCATCAATCCCAATGATGTCAATGGACTCGACTGGAGGCACGCCAGACGAACCCTCATCTGGCTCGTCAACTCCACCCATCGTCAGGAACAAGGACGGCATCGACCCCAAGGAGAAGAAGGAGGAGGGCGAGAACGTCGGCTTCTTCCAGCTGTTCCGCTTTGCCACCAAGCTCGACTATCTGCTCATGTTTGTTGGCACGATCGGCGCTATTGCCGCCGGTGTCGCCATGCCTGCCATCTCGATCGTCTTTGGTCAGGTGATGAACATCTTCACCTACCAAGAGCTGCAGAACCCCAACTTTAGCATCTACACCGAGATCTCCAAGGTCTCGCTCAACTTTGTCTACTTGGCCATCGGCATGTTCGTGGCCTGCTACCTCGAGGTCACTTGCTGGACCATCTCAGGTGAGCGCCAGTCAGTGCGCTGCCGCAAGCAATACCTCAAGGCCATTCTGAAACAGGAGATCGGTTGGTACGACGTCACCAAGTCCAGCGAGCTGGCCACACGTATCGCCTCAGACACTCAACTCTTCCAGGAGGCCATCGGAGAGAAGGTCGGTAACTTCCTTCACTTCACCTCCACCTTCATTTCTGGTTTCATCGTCGGTCTCGTCAATGGCTGGCAACTGGCCCTCGTCATTCTGGCCATCACACCTTTGTTGGCCGCAGCTGGAGGCTTCATGACCAAGATGATGACTGAGCTCACCAAGAAGGGCCAAGACTCCTACGCCAAGGCTGGTGCTGTCGCTGAGGAGAAGATCGGCTCGATCAGAACCGTCGTCACCTTCTCTGGTGAGGAGCGCGAGAACCAGGCCTACGCCAACAACCTCAAGGACGCTCTGGACATTGGTCGTCAGAAGGGTCTCATGAACGGACTTGGAATTGGTCTCGTCTTCTTTGTCCTCTTTGGATCCTACTCCCTTGCCTTCTGGTATGGTGCCAAGCTCATCACCGACCACGCCTACAACCCAATCCACTCGAGAGACTGGCAGGGAGCTGATGTGCTCACCGTCTTCTTTGCAGTCATCATGGTAAGTACACCAATGACTCAATCAACTCTGATCGTTCACTATCTAACACTCACTCAATCAATCAAACATACTATTAGGGTGCTATGGCTCTCGGACAAGCTGCTCCAAACCTTGCCAACTTTGCCAATGGTCGTGGTGCTGCATTCAAGATCTACAGCGTGATTGATCGCAAGTCAAAGATTGATCCATTCTCAACTGAGGGAGTGGAGCATGTTGCTGAGGGTGACATTGAGTACAGAGACGTCGACTTTGCCTATCCATCGCGTCCCGACGTGCAGATCTTCAACAAGTTCAGTCTGTCCATCAAGAAGGGCCAGACCGTGGCTCTGGTCGGAGACAGTGGTGGTGGCAAGTCCTCCGTCATTGCTCTGCTCGAGCGTTTCTACGACCCAATGGCCGGAGAGATCTACATGGACGGCGTCAACATCCGCGACATCAACATCAAGTGTCTCAGACAAAGCATTGGTCTCGTGTCCCAGGAGCCAACACTGTTTGGTGTGTCGATCGCTGATAACATTCGTTACGGCAATGAGAACGCGTCCATGGACGAGATCATCGAGGCCGCCAAGACCGCCAACGCACACGACTTCATCTCCACGCTGCCAGAGGGTTACGACACTCAGGTCGGTGAGAAGGGTGTCCAGATGTCTGGAGGCCAGAAGCAACGTATCGCCATCGCTCGTGCTATGATTAAGAACCCCAAGATCCTGTTGTTGGACGAGGCCACCAGTGCCCTCGACGCTGAGAATGAACATCTTGTGCAGCAGGCCATCGACAAACTGATGCAAGGCCGTACCACCATCGTCATTGCCCATCGTCTGACCACCGTCCAGCACGCCGACGTCATTGCCGTCGTGCGCGCCGGTAGCATCGTCGAGCAGGGCACTCATCTTGAGCTGCTTGCCCGCAACGGAGTCTACACCTCCCTGGTCAACCGTCAACAGAGCGGTGAGGCTGAGGACAGAAAGAAGATGATGAAGCGCAGCAACAAGGCTGTCAAGACCGTCGACACCTTGCAATCATCAGACAGCGCATCATCCAGCTCAGTCGGCGACGACAGCTCCGACGACGAGAAGGACAAGACCGACGCCAAGGACGAGAAGGACGACAAGACTGGAAAGAAGAAGAAGAAGAAAGCCGTCAAGTCCGAGGTTCCACTCACACGTATCATCAAGATGAACCAAGCCGAGTGGCCATTCTTCCTGTTGGGTACAGTTGGCGCTCTTGCCAACGGTGCCATCATGCCAGTGTTCTCAATTATCTTCTCTGAGATTCTCAGAGTGTTCAACTCTCCGGAGATGTACGACGACGCCATCAAGCTGTGCCTGTGGTTCCTGCTGCTGGCCGCCGTCGCCGGTATTGCCAACTTCTTCCAGATCGCCTCGTTCACCTACGTCGGTGAGGTGCTCACTTACCATCTCCGTTACTTCTCCTTCCGCTCGATCATCCGCCAGGACGTCGGTTGGTTCGACCTTCCCGAGAACACCACTGGTGTGCTCACTGCCAACCTTGCCACCGACGCCACACTCGTCCAGGGTATGACCAGTCAGCGTCTCGGTCTGCTAATCCAGAACATCGTCACAATGGTCACTGGTCTTGTGATTGCCTTCATCTCTGGCTGGAAGCTCACACTCGTGGTGCTCGCCACCGTGCCAATCATTGGTTTCTCAGGCAAGATGGAGATGGACTTCATGGCTGGATTCTCCAAGGACAGCAAGGAAGCCTACGCCAAGTCTGGACAGGTGGCCACCGAGGCCATCGGAGGTATCCGTACCATCAGCTCGTTCACTGCCGAGAAGAAGGTCTACGACAAGTACAAGTTTGCCCTTTCCGAGCCAATCAAGATTGCTCTCAAGAAGGCCAACACCACCGGTATCGTCTTTGGTTTCACCCAAGCTACCATGTTCCTCATCTGGGCACTTGGCTACTGGTACGGAGGCAAGCTCGTCGACGAGGGCGAGTGGTTGGCTCCACAAAAGGACATCGACAAGTTCTGCCAGCCACCCAACTACACCTTCAACGTCACGTTCGACCGTTGTGTCTACATCGAGAACAGCATCTACGGCTTTGGTCAGATGCAGCGTGTGTTCTTTGCCATCGTCATGTCAGCTATGGGCATTGGTAACGCCAGTGCTTTCGCCCCAGATATGGCCAAGGCCACCATGGCCACCAACGCCATCTTCAAGCTCATTGACCGCGTGTCCAAGATCGACCCATTCAAGAAGACCGGTCAGACCATCCAGGAGATCAAGGGAGACATTGAGTTCCGCAACGTCGGCTTTGCCTACCCATCGCGTCCCAACAAGCAGATCTTTAGCGACTTCTCGCTCACCATCCCCCACGGCAAGAAGGTTGCTCTGGTTGGTGACAGTGGTGGTGGCAAGTCCACCGTCATTGGTCTGCTCGAGCGTTTCTACGACCCACTCGAGGGCCAGATCCTGCTGGACGGCATCCCCATCACCGAGCTCAACCTCACCTGGATGCGTAGCAACTTTGGTCTGGTCGGCCAGGAGCCATTCCTGTTCTCTGGCTCGATCATCCAGAACATCCGCTACGGCAAGCCCGACGCCACCATCGAGGAGGTGATCAGCGCCGCCAAGGCTGCCAACGCCCACTCTTTCATCTCTGAGCTGCCCGACCAGTACGACACGCAGCTCGGCGACAAGTTCACACAGCTGTCCGGAGGCCAGAAGCAGCGTGTTGCCATCGCCCGTGCCATCATCCGTAACCCCAAGATCCTGTTGTTGGACGAGGCCACCAGTGCGCTCGACTCCAAGTCCGAGAAGATCGTGCAGGAGGCGCTGGACAATGTCATGAAGGGCAGAACCTCGATTGTCATCGCACATCGTCTCAGCACCATCATCGACTCTGACATCATTGCCGTTGTCAAGGGTGGACGTGTCGTTGAGATTGGCAGTCATCAGCAACTTTTGGAACTCAATGGTTTCTATTCACAACTCATTTCAAGACAACTCTAATCACTGTCATACATTCATTCATTCATTCATACATATATTCAATCAATCAACACAACGCAAGTTTGGCACAAAGTTCCTGGACAATGATACAAACATCATCGGTAGCAGATAGATGTTGTCATTCAATTGTACCATGGTACATTCAATGTGTCCAACAATTAATCATTCAAGTTTCGAAACCAATGGTTAATCATCATTCCAACTCCAACAACATAATGCGACAAACAATTCCCAACTCCAAAGTTAATAAAATACAATTATTTACTCACAATCATTTTATACACAGACGTTACAACTAATAATAAGAATAATTTATAACTAAACCAATAATGGTCTCGTCTTTGGACCTCCCACTCCTCATTCCCCCACATCGCTTAATTGATCGATTGATTAGATGCGCATCAGTTCGATCTTGTCCAACGTCTTCCTTTCCAGCCCACAGTTTTTTGACAAACATGGGGTCGTCAGGGGTAGTCTCTCCACCCCCTTTTGGTTCGTTCTTCCATCTGTGTGTCAGTCAAGGAAGGATAGGATGAAAGAGTGGTGATGCATCCTTCCATCCAATCAAACATCAATCAAACAATCAATTCAAACACAATTATTTGAATCTTATAAATACATACATACACACACAAACATACATACACATAAATATAAACATACACATACACATACTCATACACACCAAACAAATAATTAGTTGAATACAATCAATCAATCATATGACCACGACCAACAACAATTACAATTAAGTTAAGCAACGACATCCATTGCATCAACATTATATACATTTGTAGTAGTAGTTAGTAGTTAGTAGTAGTAGTACTAGAAATAATAACTAAAGTGTAGTAGTAGTCATGAGCAAGACTAATGGAAGCAGCATAAGAAGTGGAGGAGGAAGCAGCATTAGAGGAGGAAGTGTTGCTCAACAACAACAACAATCAGTGGACGATGCATATATTGCCGATCAAACACAACAGATGAGACTGTCGGAGGAGATTGATGAAGGTCTGATCGAATCGGAGGAGGCCACTGATATCGATGTAAAGGGCCTATCATTGCTCGAACAGATTGGTGCAGGTTCCTACGGTCTAGTCTACCGCGGCACATACTTCCGATCAGAGGTGGCCATCAAAAAGATACGACCAGGTGAACATCAACGCGAACTCGAGAAGTATCTAAAGAGAGAGATTGCTGTCCTTAAGTATGTCATATCAATCAATCGTTCGATCACATGATCACACAAGATCTAACTCTTTTGATCAATCAATCAAAGGAATATACAACATCCTAATATAGTACAATTCATTGGGGTGTATTATGAGAAGACTGATCATAATATGACATTCTTGACTAATCAGACTTGGATCGTGACAGAGTATGTGCCGGGTGGCAACCTACACGAGAAGATCAAAGATGTCTCCAAGCCATTCCCTCTATCACTTCGATTCAAATTGGCATTGGATATTGCATTGGCCAGTATGTTTATCATCTCCCTCCATCCATCCTTCCGTCCACTCACGACTAACTCGCTCAATCATATTAGTGGCATACCTTCATAGTCGAGATATACTATTCAGAGACTTAAAGTCAAAGAATATACTCATTGATGATACTAGCTCACCGATCAGAGGCAAGGTGTGTGACTTTGGCTTCGCCAGGATCGTCAAGAACAAGAACAGACACTTGTCCATCTGCGGAACCGATGACTTTATGGCACCCGTAAGTTTGGTTGGCCTGGCACATCCATCAATCAAACAATCAACCATTCTAACAAACATCCAACACTAGGAGGTGATACTTGGAATGGATTATGACGAGTCAGCTGACATCTTCTCATTTGGAGTCGTGCTGTTGGAGTTGGCAACAAGACGAAGGATCAGCAAGGAGATTGAAAGAGGACCACACAACGCATTCGAGATACACGAGGATATTGCACGCGACTTAATACCCGAGTCGATACCGGGACTGTTCACAGAGTTGATCATCGAGTGTATCAAATACAATCCAACCGATCGACCAAGCTTCCCGCACATCATCCACAGCCTAAAGCAACTTGTAGCACTATATCCAATCCCTCAGCCAATCGACAATCCAATGTCGCCACACTCGTCGCCCATCATCCCACGCAAGAACTCCAAGGCGGCCAATCTGCCGCCTGCCCTGGAGAACCTGCTGCGCAAGAGTTTGGACCTCAAGCCCATCTCGGCACCACCATCGTCTGCGTGTGTCGAGTCCACGTCGACCAGCAACAATGAGATGGACTCAAGGCCGCTCACATCGAGTGCGTCGGCATCCTCATCATCGTCCATCCATCACAGCATCAACAATCGACCGAATAACGAATGTAATATCACCAACCAACAAGAACATGAACATCAACAACAACAACAATGTAGCAATAGTAGTATTAGTGGCAACAATGTACAGGATCATCAATCGACGGCGCAGCAACAGCAAAAGACTCAATGTCCAGAGGACACCACCACGACAGAGGAGGTCAACGACGACCACATTGCCATTGGTGGCGACGATGAGCTGGAGCTCGACGACGAGGAGAAGGAGCGCAAGGTGCAGTATCTAAAGTCGCGCATGTTGGATGTGCTGGTGGAACTGCACGCTTACATGGACAATCAGTGTCGCGAGCTACTGGCCATCACCGAGGAGGACCAGATCACTGAGCTGTACGACGAGTGTCGCAAGGTGATCGAGGTGCGCAAGGTGCTGTGCGAGGTGGTTGTAGACGACGTGCCGCCCACCACGCCCAAGAAGAGCCAGCAGCCGACGAGCCGCGTTGGCATCTTCCTCAAGTCGATGGACAAGTCGCTCCAGGAGATATTCGTCGGTATCGAGTTGCTCAAAGTGCGAATCGAGCGTGAGGACACCCTACTCGGATCGATCTTCCTAGCCAGGGCTGTGTCCAAACTCAAGAGGATATACCAATCAAAGATGTTGGATTGATGGATTCAATCCTTTTACATTAAATATATACCTTATTATTTATGTTATCCATTGATTGCCATGTCTCGTGCATCGCATGATTGAGTGATATCTTGGACCATGTTGGACTTGACCATGTAGTGATGCGGACTAAACACCATCACTACTCCTTTGTTTGTCTGGTCGTGGCATGAATAGTCCGGCGGGCTTGTCGCCCATGACCTCCAACTCTCTGGTCTGTTGTACAGTTGCACAACAACCACAATAACACATACATAAACAGTCACCAATCATACTACCAGGTATATCATATCTATTACGTATATTGGCACGAGTTCTACATGCTGCAAATGGTAGGCAACAGAATGTAAACAGGCATTCTACATTACAACATCGCCAATGTATTATTATTAGTACAATAATTATAATCATGTCTCAATCTTATAACATACCAGATAGACCAAAGTCAGAATGTAGAGTTGCTCTTTGTCTAGCAACTTGACAAGGGCATAGTGTACAGGTTATGAGAGATATCTATATATTCATTGGTACATCCATTCCATTCATTCATTAATTAATAACCTGTTTGTTGTTTATGTCAACATAATTTCAATGCATACCAAAGGTACTGAGCAGCAGTCAAGCAACGAGTACTCCCAAAGTTTAGAATTGCTCATCCTCAAATCATTGTCCTATTGTAATCAATAATTAATCGATTCTATTTGTTGTGTATAAGTATATTCTCTCTCTATCTATCTCTATCTCTATCTCTATCTCTATCTAATGAATTATTGTAATACGTGTTAAAGAGTATTGTGTGTTGTGTTCACCCTTGAGCCTTCACGACTCTACAACCCCGAACAGTTGTTAGTTTGTTAGTTGTAGGGGGTAGTCCATTCTATGACTCGAGGACAAGACAACCACAACCTTGTCGATGACTTCGGGAATGGAGAGATATTCGTGTGGGTTCTAAACAAATATTAGTATTGCGCCACTCTTAGCCATCATGTCGACATGTTCCATTTCAATTTCATTACTCCCCAACAATGTTTATATACTTTGATAGATAGATAGATAGAGATATTAAGTTAATGATTTGGTTCATTGTTATTATGATCAAGACGGTCTTCACAATCAGATGGCATGTTTGATGTATTTCCAACATTCAGCGGAAGTTTCGATCCAGGATTGATCGGAAACATCTAAAATTTGGCGCCTCCAACATATTCATTGTTCAACTTCATTCATTGCACTTCAACAACATACATACAAACAAACAAACATACATACGTACATAGATAAGTCAACAAGAGAATAATAGGATGTCTATGGACAATAGAGTCAGTGGCAGTGGCAGCAACAACACCTCAACATCAACTTCAACATCAACAGCGGTACATAATCAACTTGGTGAACTGATTGTTGAAGCCTTACACAGACACTCATATACAACAGCGATATACTATGCTGACAAGTTATTGCAATTGTCATTGGTTGCACCTCCAAATGGTATGCTATAAAGTGCACTCATTCAATCAATCAATCAATCAAATGATACTAACCAAACAATGATAATGTAGTATACTCTGAGAACTTGTATATGTTGTGTAATTGTTTGTTTAGTGATGGACAGTACAAGAGATGTACATACTTGTTGCAACAGTTTATGAGACAAAAGACATCTGGTGTACAGCGCAAACATATCTATCTGGCGGCAAGGTCAAAGTTCAGATTGGGCGAAGGCGACTACGAGCAATGCATTCAAATACTTGGCGAGGATGATGAATCAATGTACAGGCAATACAATATCGTTGAGGATACACCAACTACCACGACCAACAACAATACAATACAGATGTCATCAATGATGTCAATGCTTCGTGGTAAGATCTACGAGGCCATGGACAATCAGAAGAAGTCAAAGTACTGGTATATCAAGTCATTGAAGCAAGATTATAAGAACTATGAGGTATGGTGATGTCCAAGGGCGAACATGCCAGACCATCGATCAATCACTGACCTCGTACATACCTAACAGGCATTCGAAGCATTGATCAATGGACATATACTTAACTATTCTGAAGAGTTGGAGCTCATTGCATTGTTGAACTTCTCTCGATCAGACAAATGGTTACAAGAGCTGTACCTAACATCTTTAAAGAAGGTATGGTATCCGAGGTCATGTGACCAATCGAGTGATGGATGGACATCATTGGCTGACCCTCCCTCCCTCATTCCACCTTGTTCCAATCACTCAATCAATCAATCCAAAGTATGAATCACCAAACAACAACAATAATAATAATAATAGTATCATTAGCCGATTCCTTAGGATGGATTGTGGCGATGAGACGTTGAGCCAGACACTGGCACAGAGCAATGATTGTAGATCATCACTGGCAGAGTACTACTTCTATCAGTATCACTACAGGGAGGCATACGACATCACCAACAGTATATTCAAGGAGGACAAGTATTATAACAATCAGACATGTCTGCTGGTGCACCTCTCCTCGATGTATGAGCTGGCCATGAAGAACGAGCTGTTCTACACGTGCCACCAGCTGATCGAGAATCACACGCAGCCCGCCATCGCATGGTATGGCATCGCGTGCTACTACCATCTGATACAAAACAGCGAGATGACACAGAAGGCCTTCAACAAGTCGACCACACTCGATCCCAAGCTCGGCGCCGCTTGGCTAGGCTTTGGCCACTACTTTGCCAGCAAGGGCGAGCATGACCAGGCCATGTCCGCGTATCGCACGGCCTCCCGCCTGCTCACCGGCCTTCACCTGCCCCTGCTTTGCATCGGCATGGAGTTGATTGGCGTGCACAACCTCAATCTGGCCGAGCAGTATCTTGCCCAAGCCAAGGACATTTGTCCGTACGACCCCCTGGTCTACAACGAGATGGGCGTCATCGCCTACAAGAACAACACGTTTGGCAATGCCATCCAGTTCTTCCTCAAGTCGCTGGAGATTGCCACAAAGAACTCGGCGCTCTCATCGCTCAGCAACAACAACAACAACATCAACAACAACTCGTCCTTGCTGTCATCGTCGTCATCGTCAATGTCAGCCATCGCCAGACGCCAGCAACAACCAAGATACACGGTGGCCATGGAGGCCACGCTGTTCAACCTGGCGCACAGCTATCGCAAGACCAGACAGTTTGACAAGGCCGTGCACTACTATCGCATCGCACAGACACTGTCACCAAACAACGCGTCCATATTCACTGCGCTGGGCTTCACACATCATCTACAGGGTCAGTTCGAAGAAGCCATCGATCTCTACCATCAGTCACTGTCGATACGCGATGACTCCTTCACCAACACGTTGCTCAACAAGGCATTGTCACTGTCGATACTGGGTCATGACTGATCAGTCCACTGACCATTATGTACTCTACTCTAAAGACACCAATATAGCGCTGGCGGGGGACATGTATATGTCTTCTTTCATTCATTCATTCTTTCATTCTATACTATATTTACATAAGTTGTTGATGCTGTTGCTGTTGCTTTTGCTATTGGCTGATGATTGATGAAAGTCTAGACTACATGGTGATTGTTCTATAACATGGATCACATACGCGCACTGGTACATAGTTGTAGTTCAACTGTGGAATCTTGACATTGTTCGAAGAGCACTTCTGACAGAACACCTGTCCACATCTCCTGCAATGATGCTAAATTGTGTTGTTAGTCACTTAATACTTCATGTTGATTGATTGATCAAGGTGACATGTCATACCTTTCTGTTCAAAAGAGTGAATGATGTATTACACTTTGTGCATCTGATATATATATATGATTGATTGATTGAATAGAATGGGTCAGTACCATTGATTGAATGAATGAATGATTGAGCAAGTAATAAACATACGAAGTAGCGGCTACGTCCTCGACCCACTTTGGTCTTGAGTTTGTGAATGTAGCATCTGGCTTGAATGATGAATCTTCCTCAAAGTCTGTCATTGTATTGTTATTTATTTGTGTAGTATCTATTTATATAATTATTAACTGTAACACTTGTGTGAGAATGAATGAATGTTTGTTAGAATGTTCAATGTTGGCGTCCTACCTTGGTTAACAGGTTCTCGCGTACTAGTACCAGGCAAGAGATCTTTGGGGTACAGGTCCAAAAGTTTGCAAAATATCAAGCTTTTTGGGAGCCACATCGACTTGGATCGATCATTATTCAAGTTGGGGTCATTGCCTTGCGGACCAGCTTCTGGATTCCATTCTGAGACCTACATGAACTCCGTATTCATTAATAATTGATTGACAAATATATAGAAAGAGTGAGAGTGTGATCACTCACTACACCCACATCATTATACTATTATGGTAGTGATATCCTTATTAGGAAATTATAGGTTGATGGATAGAATTCAAAAAATACATACGCTTATAACATAGTGACACCATTGATTGTGTTCATTATCCACCAACAACAAATATCAATCATATTAATAATTAATTAATATAAACCTACAAAACTATATATTTATTATTATTATTAATGGACAATAACAATATAAACACAAGTTCCACATCTGATAATGGTAATAATAATAACATTAATGATGGAATTGGAGGAATTGGTAGTGGAAGTGGAATTGGAAGTGGAGGAATTGGAGTTGGAGGTGTCAATGGAGTTGGTGATCCAACTGGAAGTGGAAATGGCGGAGGAGGAGGCAACAAGAACAGTTTGAGAATGGCGTTGAAGAACTTTAAACAAAGCTTTGTTGAGATTGAATCAATAATATTAAAGTTACAACAACGTGAGAGATCATCGATGGGTGGAGCCAATCAACAACAACAAGACTGTGGCCAAGGAGATGGATTCCTCAACAAAATGGTCGTCCAGAACAATGCCAGGAGCCAAGAGTTGGCCCGATCCAATCAGAAGCAACAAGAGACCATCGATGACCTCCAAAAGAGACTGGAGTTGCAGGACCGCTACCTTGACGAATACAAGAGTAACTTTATTCGTATCAATGAGCAAGTCAAGCAGATTGAGCAACAGTACATGAACCTGAAGGATATATGTATGTATACACTGGCCGACTGACTGACTGACTGACTAAACTGATCCAAATCAGTTACCAATGTATCATCCTTGCAGAACAACTTGGAGAAGGAGCGTGCCGACCATGTCAGGATGATCCAGGAGTTGCAACATGCATTGACCGAGTGTACCAAGGACAGACAAGTGCTTGTTGATGACAAGGTAGCCTCAGAGAAGAGGAGTGAGAGCCAGGCATCCATGATAGCTGACCGTGATGAGGAGCTTAAAAGGGTAAGCTTTGTGATTGAATGAGAGGGAGAGAGAGGCCCTAACATCCATATAACCATGATGATATAGAATGCCGACATGATACAAGGCTACAGGGAGGACATGCTACGCCTTGAGAATGAGAAGAAGGATCTGCTGGCTCTGGTGGATGAGAGTGTTAGACAAAGAATCTAACCCATGCGATGGGGACGGCCCAATGTGTGGCCACGTCCAAACAACATACCTACTGTTGGCGCACCAAGGATGCAGTCGACTTATTCAATCAACTCAGTAAAGCTCGCGCCTTCATTCATTTATTCTTCTTTGATGATCCAAAGTTTGTTGGCAATCCCATCGCTCGAAGTTGTGCTGTCTCCTCGTCCTCCTCCTCCTCTTGCTCCTCCTCTTTCTTTAGTTGTGCTTCGATCTCTGCATCCTCCTTCGCTTTTGCCTTGTTTTGTTCACGTTGTTTCAGCTTTGCCAATCTCTTCTCTTCAATCTCCTGCTCGGCCTTCTCCTCCATCTGTTTAAGTATAACTTGATACTCCTCATCCTTCTTCTTCTGTTTCTCCTGTTCAGTTAATGCCTTCTTTGCATTCAACTCATCCTTCTTTGCCTTTAACTTATTCTTCACTTGACTCAACGTTGCCTTCTCCACTCTCATACTCTTTCCCTCCATCCTATTGTCTTAGTATGATTGATTGAATGAATGAGTTAGTGAGCCTATGAGTTGATTGACACCATGTAGGTACTTACGTCTCTTGCTATTAATGTGATCTAGCCATCCTACAGAGTCCTTCATTAGACAGTCACATAGCTCACAGTAGAAGCCACCTTGATTGTTCATTGGAGTGACGCCATCAATGACATTGGCCTTGCCAATACGTTTGACAAGATTGAGATCCTCTGATCTTGCTTGGAATGGAGTGAGTGTATCCGATGCTGGCATTATCAATGTCTTCTTCTGTTCCACTGCCACCTCTCCATCACCTATCAGACCTGCCTCTCTATCCTTTGCTCTCTGTTCATATTCCTCATCTGCCCATTTCTTTCTGAATGTCGTTGAAACGAATTGTCCTCCCTTACTATTACTATTCTTGTTTGTAGTTGTTGTATCTGACATTGTATATTATTGTTATATTATTGAGGAGATAGAGATTAATTGATTGAATGAGTCCGACGACTTCGAATAAGTTGCAACTTTTTGAAAATTGTTGTCAACTTGTGTTCCTTGTTAGCGCCAATTCAAACTCGCAACATTCGTCAAAAGCACAACTAGTACTTGTACATACATATATATATATATATTCATTCAACAACGACAACATACTACATCACATGTTGTGTGAGAACTTTATCAATCAATCATATTCAATCAATCAATCAATCAAGAGTCAGCCAGCCAGCAGCAAGCAGCAAGCAGTAACAATTGAGTGACTGACAGACAGACAGACAGATTGAGTGACTGACTGACAGACGACTGATGGAGTGCAACAAAGATGAAGCATTGCGCATTAGACAGATGGGCGAGACTTGTATGAAGGAGTCGAATTATGTACGTGCACAGAGTCTGTTCAACAAGTCCAAACGAATGTTCCCAACAGATGGTATAGATACATTGATAGCAGAGGCAGAGTCACGTCAACAACAAAATCCACAACAACAACATCAACAATCAGTGCCACTGAGTAGCAATAGCAATGCAGTTGTCATACAACCTATTGAATCGGTGCAGGTCGAAGTCACGGCCGAGCAACTCGAGATCATCAAAAGAGTAATCAACGCCAAGACTCACTACGACAAGCTATCTCTTCCCCAAACCTGTACCGAACAGGATATTTCAAAGCAGTATAGAAAGGTATGTCTGTCCGCCTCATGCATTGAATGAATGAATGAATACTTACTCAACTCATTCATTCATGTTCGTCAAGCTTGTCGTTCTGCTGCACCCTGACAAGAACAAGGGACCAGGATCACAACAAGCATTTCAAGAGATCACAACCGCCAAGGATATATTGGTCGACACTGACAAGAGGAACAAATATAACATCGAGCTAACGAGTCTCGCGAGCAGGAATAGAAGTGCTCTACCTGCAACAGACTATACAGTACGTAATCAATCAATGGGCTCGGATCGCTTGCTCAATCAATCAAGTCACTCACACAATCATGAATCTAGGCCAAATGCCCAGACTGCCAAGCTGTTCACGCGCTATCAACTTCTGTTCATACGGGTTTCGAGCAATCGCAAACAATGTTGGTGTGCTTTAGATGTCAGAAGTTGTTTGCGATGGTGCGATGCACATACTGCTTATCGGTCTATGTGCTTGGACACAGGTTCATGGCAAAGGATGGCACGGAAGTCAAGTGCAGCTTCTCAGGCTGTGAGCGAAGATTTGTACTTCGCTTCCCCAAGCATCAAGCGCGACCCACACTGCACATCGGTCGACCCACGCCCGCTCCAATACCTGCGGCCAATGCGTTTGAGGATTGGTTCACCAAGTTGCAACAATCAAAGAAGCCTGCGACGCCAGCGGCATCAATCCCAATCCCAACACCGACGACACCAACTCCAACACCAACTCCAACAACAACTGCATCTTGGAAACCTGCGCCAACTATCCCGCCATTCGTGGCAACACCAAAACCAACACCTCCAGTGTCAACCAAACCGATGGCCACTCAATCACAATCAACTCACAAGACAGACAAAAGCACCAACACCAATAACACCAGCGCAAACACATCAGCAGAGGCCAACGCATCATCGGAGGCAAGGAACAATCACACAAACACCAACAACAACAACAGCAACAATAACACCTTTTTCAATCATTCATCTTCTTCGCGGCAACAACAGCAACAGCAACAGCAACCTCAACCGCAGCAAAATATCTTTGCTCAAAGATCACAACAGCCCAAGCCATCAGATACAACACGAACAACGACGACGACACCTCCTGCCCCCAAACAAGACAATCCCAGTGTTGTAATCGACTTGGAGTCTGATGATGAAGCAAAAGAGACCACAACCTCATCCTCCTCTTCAAGTCGGCCACTACCCAAAGCACAACCTCAAGCTCAAGCACAAGAACCAGCGACTACCACGACGACGACATCAGCAACGACTTCCACTTCCACTTCGACGAAATCACAGCAACCTCAACAGGATGACATTGAGGAAATCGAAAGCTCACAAGGATCGCAATCATCATCGGGTCGACTAAGAAAGAAGCCATCGCCCGACTCCACCACAGGTACCACCACCTCCAAGAAACTGTCACAGGAGCCAGACACCAGCGGGCTTTGCGATGACTTTATGATCAACATCAGCTCAATGTCAACGAAACAACCGACCAAGAGTACGACCACCAGCACAAGTACAAGCACAAGCGCCAACAGCACCAACACAAGTGCGAACATGAACACAGGCGCGAACACGAACACGAGCGCCACAATGAGCACAAGCAAGAGCAGTACAACGATCAAACAACCTACGACGAGCACGACGAGTCCACTCAACAACGCGAATACTACAACCAGCAATACCTCAAACAAGTTCACTTATCAACAGCCTCAGATCTTTGGCGGCCACAAGTCATCAGCCCCATCGACCTCGACCTCAACATCTCAATCTACGACAGCACCTGGTGCCAGTTCATCATCGTTTCGCTTCCCACGAGCCTCAAACTCACCAATCATCCATTCAGCGACCAAGCCCGCAAATGTCACGCCACAACCACAGCTACATCCACAACCAACAACAGCAGCAACATTGGCAACAGATAAGAAGAAGACTCATGGTGCTCACATTGAGGATGATTTGGATGATCTTGACATGCCCTCGCAAGGTGATGAGCTGTGGCCACCCAAGCCACGCTTCACAAGGATTGCTACGGACAGTGATGATGATGAAGAAGTTGCCGTGCAGCCACACAAGAAGAAGAGGTCGTCCACCGAGGACACAACCAAGTCTGCCAAGATCGACGGATTCTTTAGCAAGGTGAATCCCGTCAAACCAACAAACAACAATCACATGGTGATTGAAGATGACGATGTAGACCAAGGCAGTTGGTCACAGCCATCAACACAACCAACCGTACCAGCTCCAGTGCCATCACCATCAGCCGCAACAACTGCACAACCACAACCATCGGCAACTACATCCACGACGACGACGACCACGACCACAAAGTCGACAACAAAGCCAACACCAGCTCCACCTCACGCAAGCATATACATGCCAAAGGGTCCTTTGATACCAGCAGCATCGATCTACATCCCAGTACACCCTCCACCCAGACCACAAGCATCTTCTCCACACTCAAACGACCACGACTATCAAGACCACGACTACGACACTGAAGACTACGTTGAATATAACCCGATGCTTGAGGTCCAACACAGGTACGAATTGGAGCAATTTAAGAATAAGAACGAACACACAACCAATGGCAATGGGAACAATGGCAGTGAGAGAAAAGGCAATGTCGAAACATTCAAGAACAGCTCAAAGGATACACTGGAACGTAGTGGAGTTAGTGCGGCCACTCCTGTAGCGCCACCAAAGCCAAGCGAGGATGTGGAGATGGCCGAGCCAGATGATAATGATCAAGACGAGGTCGACACGGAGGATGGCTGGAACGTCAAGAGGAAGTTGGAGAAGGTGCCCCATCATGATACTGTGGTGCTAAAGAAGAAGAAGACCAGTCATCAGACCTTCACTCCTTCCGTCACTGACTTGGACGGTGTCGACAAGTCCGACGGCGACGAGTCTGCAACAGACCTTGACGGGTTGGACATGGGCGACAAGGACACAGGCAGATCACCTCTTAAGAAGCAGAAGAGATCACATCAACCATCGCAGGAGGAGAGCATAAAGGAGTCACGGGAGGAGATCGAGCAAAAGAAGTTGCGCGAGAGGAACCTGAGGAAGAAGATTGAGTTGGTCGAGCAAGAGCGCAAGGAGAGGGAGCGCGAGCGAAAGAGGAAGGAGTCAAGCGCGACAGTCATACATAGCAGTCTAAAGAGGAAGACGACAGCGGACCTCTTTGACGAAGCTTCGACCGAGGAAGAGGAGGACGACGACGACGAAGTCATTGTACAGAACTCTAGGCTGAAGCAACGCCGAACCGATCAACATACAACACCGACGACAACACCAAACAAGCGAGCCAACACCGCAGCCATCGCCACCCCAGCATCGACCGCACACAAGAAGACAAGTCCAGCGGCGTCAAAGAAGGCGAGCCCAAGCGGGCGATCTCATAAGAAGGCCAAGACCATTGTCGACCCCAAGCAATCAACCATTTCATCATTCGTTCAAGCGAGCAAGGTGAAGTAGTAGTGTCCAATAAAGAGCGTGCTTTCGGGCGCGTGCGTTCATGTAGTAGACGATTAGCGAATGTACAAGGGTGCACTCGGCAGCCATTGAGTGATGTATTTGATCAAAAGTCGATAGGACTTGGCTTGTTGGGTCCAGTCGAGCATAGCATCCCGCTTCCAGACTTCATCTTGCTGACCAGGTCCTTGCCCGCGGCGGCTGCTGCTGCGCTACTTGAGTCGCCAGCGCGACTGAGCTCGGGCGGCAGATGGATAGTCTCGATCACCATCTTTCTGCGCTTCATCTTGAAAACGTAGTTGAGCATGTCGGGATGGTAGGACAGCGCCAGTGTGTTTAGCTTGGCAATCTTCTTGATGTTGAACAGGCCGAGGTAGTCGGCAAAGGCGGCAGGGGTCTCGCCACCCAGTCCGGTGAATGAATTGATCGCCACGACATTGTCGCATAGATGCGCCATCTTGGCGACGAACGATGAGTGGTAGATGTGAGTGGGCACCGTGATGACTGCGACGGCGAGCGACGAGCGCAGCAGTCCCTTGAGCGCATGCAGGAACTCGACCATGCCCTCGACGTCATTGGACCATAGTGGCGAGGCAAATGATTGAAGCGCCAGACGGAGGATGCGTGGGGCGCCTCCACTCTCTGATGTCGCGGCCGCCTCGGCATTGTACTTCCTGACCAATGTCTGTATCTCGATGTAAAGGTTGCGGTAGGGCGAGGCGCCGGCGGCCTGGCCCTGTGAAGAGTATGTCAACGTGTGCAGATGTTCGGGGACGAACGATTGAACGTTCATCTTGCGCGTAAAGTCGTATGAGTGGCAGAAGTTGTTGTTTGCCAATCGCTCCTTCTTTCTCGCGTTCTCCGCGTCGATATAGGCCTGGTATCTCCAGGCGATCTTTAGTCCGTCGCTGCCTCCACCTCCTGCTGCTGCGTCTGCTTGTTGTCTGGCCTGCTTCTCTTCCTCGTCGTCATCCTCCACCTCAGTCTGTGTGCATCTTGCGGGTAGTTTGTTGAGCACTTCAAACGCGTCAAGTCCGACGAGGGACGTGAAGAAGGCACCGTGTGACTGCGCCACACCCTCGGCCAAGAAGTACTTGAGTAAGAACATGTAGTAACTGCTGTTGACATCCTCCTCTATCATCAATATACTGCCAACGGGTACACCACCGCCAAGTATCTCGTCGAGGTCATGCAGTCCGGTCGAAGTCAGCAAGTTGCCATTATGTATCGATAGTTTGCAGCCACCAGGCAGCTTCTTTGCCACGTTTGTCGCAGGTAGCTGTCCACCACCAGGTGCAGTCGATGCTGTCTTCCTAACAAATGTAGTGGGAGGTCTACTTGTAGTCATAATATATAAATTATATGTATAAATGAATAAACGAAGAAAGAAGAATGAAGAGAAGTTCACAAGACTTCACGTTTTTGAAAGGGTCACTACCTTTTAACTCAATCACCTAATTATGGTGATCAGATGGTCATCAGTCACCTCAGGTATATATAACATCCAAGTCATATCCAATAACATAATGATGTAATCATTCATTCAATCATTCACTAAATAATATATTCAAAGTACATAGAGAGACATGTTAACAACATATAATGATATTAGTTTGTTAAACTTACCAATTGTAGTCATACGATACATTGTGCACCATTTACAATATGATGCCTTAGATACATTATGTTTATTACTTACTTGCAAGTCATTATATACTAGACAAGAATCAATAATAATTAATCAATCATCAACAACATCTAGTCTATGGTTACATGATGGTTGGGGAAAGCATGTACCATGTCCATTTCAACTTAATCAGAAACCAATCCAACAAGATAATGATGATATACCTTTATTGGTCACTAGCAAGTATAAGAAGTCAACATTGGCAGAGGTTGTCGAGCAAGGTATTGGTGTAAAACGACTACGTATTGATGATATGAGCAATGTCACTCAACCAATCACATCATCATCAATACCAAAGAACATTAATTATTTGACAATATCAATTACTACTCCGATAAATGTGATCGTTGAATCTTTACCAGATACTATTACACGTCTCAATTTAAATATGAATGGATGGAGTCAATCAATCAAACCTGGAATCATTCCAAATTCTGTCATATTACTCAGTATTCAAGCACCTGGTCTTTCAATTATTGAAGGAGTAATACCTCAATCAACTACTCAACTTGATCTAAGATGTCAAAGTATGATGCCTCATTCAATACCAGACTCTGCCACTGACATTCCAATGTTGATAGTTGAACAAGGTATATTTATTAATGGAATGATACCTCAATCTGTCACCTCATTGAATATAAAATGTGAGAACATTACACCTGGAACCATTCCTTCGTCAGTTGTTAATCTTTCAATCGAAGTCACATCAGGACCCCTCCAAAATGGGACTATTCCAATCTCTGTCAAAACACTATCAATCATTGGACAAAATAGTTTGACAACTGGATTGATACCATCATCAGTTGATACACTATATATTCAGACAACAAGTTTTGACAACTTTGAGACTGGTTCAATTCCAGACTCAGTCTACACTCTAACATTGAATGGAATAATCACCAACTGCAATCACTTAAAGAGTATACTTCCAAAATATTTGACCAAACTTACTTTGGATGGAGACATCACTCAGCCAATCAAACCAGGTACTTTGCCCAATTCAATCACTTTTTTATCTATGCCATCATTCAACGATATATTGATAGTCGGAGCATTTCCAAATGATCTTACACATCTTAATATGCACTCATACAATCTCCCACTCAGCTATAAGGTGTTACCAATGAGCCTAACATACCTTCATTTGGACAATTTCAATCAAACATTCAAATGGAACAAGCTCAAACTTGAACACCTGGTCCTCACTACATACAATGACTTCATTCTTCCCAATACACTACCAACAACTCTCAAGATATTGGATGCTAAGCATGCTTTACCCAAAGTATATAGTTTCCCTAGTGATGGTAATTTAGAGGAGATCACATGTTCATGTCCATATTTGGATCTAGCGATGAAGTTATTACTTCCAAATAGTGTTACAAGTTTAAAAGTATACAGCAGGAATAATAATAATAATACATTACCTTATATTCATTATTTGGTACATCATACTGTGACGAACGCACTAAAGAAATATGTTGATAATTCCAAGACCAACGATTCAATAACCAATCTAGAGATATATTACCAAAATGATCGATTAAACATTGGACAAAATATTCATCAATTTGCCAATCTAGAAAGACTAAAGATTGACTATGCCAATCTTATTCAACTTAATCTACCTTATAGACATTCATTCAATCAAACAATACGTACAGTCTTGATCACTTCATCATCAAAAAACATAAGTTTGGAAGATCTCCAACAACCATCATCACCATACCTTATTAAATTGCTCAAAATGTTCAGACCTGGTACAACAATATCAATAGAAGTCAATCAAAAGTACAATAATCAATTATTATTTGTATCCAGGATATTAGACCGATCAACAATACTCATAATATCTCCAGTTTCCAACTTAGGAGGTTTCTTTAAAAAATAAACCCTTGCCCTTACCCTCACCCTTACCCTTGCCCTAACCCTCGCCCTTCCCAAAGAGGGGATCTCAAAAGTTTCGTGTCACGAACATCTTTGTTATTACATTCTACATACTTGCAAAGAGATAACAATAATAGTAAAATGGTACACGATGAAGAGCATGGCTTGTTGGATATGTCTCTATTGATTGTGCGTGAGATCGTGCGATGCTTGGACGATGCAACAGATACAATATGTTTGATACTCACTTGTAATCCAATGTATTTGAAAAGACATGATCTTATTGGTCCACGCGCAATGACACTCAACGTAAAAGACAGTTGGAACACACCATTTCAATGTCCATTCCGCTTCGGTGTTGGAACTCGCTCAATGAATGATCGTACAATACTTGAGCTCAAAGGTGACAAACCTCTCCCGGCCACTCTTCCCAACAGCAACATGTTTGAACTCACTATCCTCGATGTCAAGCTACCTTTGTCCTCATTGTCATTCCCATCCACACTCAAGATACTCTCACTTGGACGCGTGTATCGTGCCTTGAGCGTGGGATCATTGCCATCGTCGTTGACCGAGCTCAACATCGATCGCCAGGGTGGCACACGCAGCACATGTCCCATCGTACCCGGTGTCATCCCATCCTCAGTTACATCACTCTATCTCACAAGTTATAACCTGCCCCTCGCGACTGGAGTCATCCCGCCTTCAGTGATCAAATGCAGATTGAATCTGGAGAAACAAGATATCGAGCCTGGATTGATACCCTACTCAGTGACAGAGTTGACCGTCGAGGTAGAATATGGCAAGATCATGCTGGGATCAATCCCATCATCAGTCACACAGTTGACCATCATGAATCACTACGAGCCTTTGGAGCCTGGTACAATACCGTCATCAGTCAAACGTCTGGCTATCATGCACTACCGCGACAAGTCATCACTGATGAGTGGACTTGGCAACTTCCCCACCGACCCAATCAGCGAGTTTAGGAGGGGCCTGCTCAGCACGGCCTACCTCATCACAATACTGCCAACGTCCAACTTGACAGACTTGTCATTCGCATCACGCTACGACCAACCCATTGTGGAGGGAATGTTGCCCAGGAGCCTGACCAGATTGTCGTTGAGAATGTACAACCAGCCACTTACACCAACATCGTTGCCCAGGGGCCTCCTACATCTTGATATGTTCTCCTACGACCAACCACTATTGGCGAATGTCCTGCCCAGCGGCATGACATCACTTAGCCTCTACAGTTATCGCAGTCCATTCGATTGGCATACGATACCATTGACCAGTCTCTCGATAGACAGGTACCAGGGACTAATCGAACCCGGTTCCCTTCCAACGACCCTTCGCTCACTGTTTTTGAGTACTGTCGAGCTTCAACAAGGCAGTCTACCAAACGGACTGCAGCACCTAAAGTTCAACCATACCGACAACATGCAGGTAATCCCAGCGAGTGTGACCAAGTTGGACATATTTGGTGGCGACAAAATACCAGATGGAATCATACCACCATCCGTGATAGACCTTGAGCTGTACACCTCTGTCAGACCAGCAGCGGGTAGCCTACCTCCATCACTCACAAACCTGTACCATTGCTCATCCAATATGGACTATCAGTATGAATGTCTGACGTCTCTAAAGAGTATGAGGATCAACTTCTCTTCCCTGCGACATGATGTGGAGCCATTCCAAGACAATGTTCGCAGTGTCAAGATATTTACCTCAACAGGCGTTGAAGAATATAAATGGCCAGAGCTAAAGGAAAAGTGGTGGCGAGCCTTCACCATGTTCCAGCCAGGTACAACCATCACCTTAAACTCACCAATGTTCGTCTGTAGAATTCTGGATCATTCAACCGCACTCATACTATCACCTAAACACATTGGTGGACTTTTCAACTTCCGACAGTAGTGATGGCCACATTCCAACCTGGAACCATTCCATACTCACTCATCTCACACCCCTATGATCAATGATCAATCTTCCACTTACTCACTGGGATCACTCAATCACACTTGATCATCAACGAAACTGGAACTATTCCAATCAAACGATCAAACATTAAAATTCCTCCTTCCCTCATTCATTTTAATCTTTGACATCCCATCAATCAATCACATAACAACTACAAAATGAGTGATGAGAGTAGATGTTACTACTTTGTAGATCTACCCCATCTGATCATACTCGATGTTGTCAGATGTCTTGACAATGTGATGGACATTGTATGTTTGTCGCTAACTTTTAAGAGCATGTACAGGAGACGTAACGAATTCATTGATCAATGTACATCGACTCCGACAAGGTTGGTCGATGATTCCCATTGCAATGATACCAATCACTTCCGTTTTGGTGTTGGTACACGATCAATCACCAATGACCTCACAACTCAAACGATCGACTATCGACGAGTCAGAGTCCTACAATTGTTAGAAATTAGCAGCTTGGCCTCAAGGAATATCTATGATTTGACGATCATCACAACGCCAAGCACACCACAATTGACTGTATCTGTGCTCCCGCCCCATCTCAAGTCCCTCAACATCACACTTGGATGGAGCCCTGTCGACATTCATTCACTCCCCTCTACATTGACGCGACTAAAGATACATTCCAATTATCAGAAAGGCGTCACTCTCAGACCAGGCGCCTTGCAAGAGACACCATATTTGATGACCCTCGCCATCAACTTGACCGATGAAGATCTGACGCCTGGAGTGTTCCCGCCATCAGTCACATCGCTTGAACTACATAATTGCTGCCCCGTCCATCTGACATGCATTCCAAACTCTGTGACCAAGCTCTTCATTGCACCAGATTCCAAAGTGATCAATCCTGGAATCATACCATCATCTGTAAAGTCATTGACTTTACTTGGATCTAGTGAGTCCAAGATGATGATGATGACCGGAACGATCCCACAATCAGTGAGACGAATCAAACTGATCGATTATCACCTCGACACCTTAATCAAGGGCACCCTTCCAGACTCACTGGACAAGCTCATTATTGAGCGTCATGGTGTCCTCCCCGACAACCTCCACGAGCTACTCCCTACCCGCCTCACCAGCTTCAGGATCAGCCCGGGCCGGGACTCAATCCTGTTCCCCACAACTACAACAACAACAATGACAACAACAATGTTCCCATGCAAGCTCACCAAACTCGTGATTGATCAGTTCGATGATGTACTTCATCCAACCTTCTTTCCCAAGAGTTTGCTTCATTTGGACATGGCTCGCTTCAACTTGCCCCTGGATGAGGATGTGTTACCGCCAGGCTTGACCACTCTTCGCATGAACGACTTCAAGCAACCATTTGATTGGCATACTCACACCTCTTTGGTCGACCTCTACCTGCCCCGCTTTGACCAAGAGCTCAAACCAGACACATTGCCACCCAATCTAATCACTCTAAATGTTCGCTCGGCTCTGTTGATACATGACCATGCCATCCCAGTTAGTGTGAAGAACCTTGTTTGTTCCTATCTGGCAGGATACAGCATCAAAGTCATTCCACCCAACGTCACCAAGTTGGAGTTTGAATGCATTGACTTGCCCATTGGATTCATTCCATCATCTGTGGCAGACCTAAGCATTAGCATTACGAATAAGCCAAACATCAATTCGATACCAACAAGTATAACAAGTCTACGTATTGGTAATTGTACCTCTATTTCACATCTATGTTTGATTGAACGACTCGATCAACTCTGCAGTCTAAGGTTACCCATGCCCTATATCAAACATGGATCAACACCCTTCAACAACATACTACGTCATGTCATCATTGATCATCGTACAGACGAGCTAAAGACTCAATGGTGGAAGGTATTCACAATGTTCCAACCTGGTACATTCATCATCATCAACTGGGGCAATGGTGAGCATTCGAACATTATATGTCGAATACTAGATACATCCATTGCACTCATCCTATCATCAAGTCATAATGGAGGACTTCTCAAATACAGATAACAACATTATTATTATTATTATACAAGTACGAGACATCTCGAGAATGAATAAAGGTGTGGCGCCAATGTTACTGGGAAGCGGAAACAAAAAGGAAGTGAGTGTGATGTTCAGGGGTCACCATTCAAAGTGAAGTCAAAGTTAGAGATACAGATACAGATACATAATATATGTTAACATAATGGATACAAATATATTGAACATGTCACAGATGATATTACGTTGTATATTTAAACATCTTGATTACATTGCTTTAGATATAATATGTTTGATATTATCATGTAAACATATATACAATCAACGTTATTCATTGATAAGTAATAATACTTTAAATATGATGATGAAGAGGATCAAATTTACATGTCCATTCAGATTTGGTATTGGTACTAAAGGTCAATATAACAAGACTGATAAGGTCATGATACAACCTAATCCAGGCGAATCACGAGTAGATCCGACAGAGATTACCAATCTACATAGACTACAGATGATTGATTGTACAGACTATCAAACGTTGACATCTGCACATCTACCCAGCCACTCTCTCAGGTCACTCAAACTTCAATGTATTACACATCGCATGAACATTGAGTCACTTCCTCACACCTTGACTGAGTTCTCATTGGACTGTCGATCATTACCTGGCGTCTTACTCAAGCCTGGTGTCATTCCCCACTCTGTCACAACACTTAGACTTGATAGACCTCAAGACGCGCTTGGTCCAGGTGTGATCCCTTCATCAGTTTCAACACTTGCACTATTCTGCCGTGATGTGGCACCCGACAGTATACCAGACTCAGTGATCAAACTCTCCTTAAAAGTTATCTCTGGAAACATTGGTCATGGAACTATTCCCTCTTCAATCAAGGCACTGACCATCTATGATCAGCGTGAATTGTTGAAACCTGGAGTGATCCCACCATCAGTCAATCATGTAATACTAGAAGCAGCCTGCACCAACTCATTGTCTAGGGGATCAATACCCGCCACACTTGGGGTGCTCAAAATATATTACAAGGAGCAAAATGTGATGATAAGTCCAATATACCTGAAAGAGACACTCCCATCATTCTTGTCCACATTGTCTATCAACTGCAAATTTGATCAACCAATTGATTCAAGCATATTCCCTAGCACTCTAACCAGTCTCACTTTGGAGGAGTTCAATGAACCAATATTACCCGGAACCTTTCCCCAGAGCCTTGTTCATCTTGATCTTCCATACCTTAATCGTTCACTACCCGCAGATGTCCTGCCCAAGGGTCTGGCAACCCTGCACATGGAGTCATTCAATTCACGATTCGACTGGCATACACTCTCTTTGACAGACCTCTCAATACCTGGGTTTTTCTGTCTAATATTACCAGGCACATTGCCAACAACCCTCATCAAACTCAATGCCCAGGCGGCAATATTGGAGCCTGGTTGCATCCCCAATGGTGTCATAGACATTGTGTTTGGAATACGTTCAAAGACAAACCCTCGCTTGCCACCAAGCGCAACCAATATGACGGTGTACATCACTCGTAAACTACCTGTTGGATTCATCCCTTCAACTGTTCGTGATCTAACTTTGTACATTCAAGAAACACCCGAACTTGAATCGATACCAACAACACTGACACGATTGACCATCCACTCTGGACATCTTTGTAACATTACACCACAATATCCACGCTTCCAACAATTGGAGTATCTTCAGACGGATTTACGCAGTCTCAAACTGGATGACAAACCCTTCAACAATACACTTCGTAATGTTAACATTGAAACATCGCCAATGAGTCGAGTGTTTAAATCTAATGAACTCAGGAATCATTGGTGGAAGATATTGACCTTGTTTCAACCAGGCACAACAATATACTATGAACATGAATGTAGAATATTGGACTCATCTACAGCACTCATCTTATCATCTTATCACAATGGAGGACTTTTAAAATTTAAATAATAAAATTATTTATCTGTGTTATCTGAACTGAAACAGATCTGTATTAATTCAATATTTATTCTCCCCTCTTCATCAATTCTTTCATTCATTTATTCATAATCAATCATAGAAATAATAATATAAATATAATATAAAAGAATGAATTATAATAAATTAACTGTAACAGATTGGATCTATTACCTAAGTTGATTCTACTTGATATTGTTCAAAAACTTGAAGGAGAAGCAATGGATACCTTAAGTTTAATACTATCATGTAAATATTTATTTAATAATAGGAATTATCTTTTGAGAAATAGTACTGGAAGTCTTTGGATTCCAGATTGGGCAATCTATTCTAGAACTTCTTGTCCATTTCAATTCCAAATTGGAACAAAAACTATTAATGACATTACAATATTAATTTTAAATTCTGAACATATTCCCAATAATATTCATTTAATGAATCTAAATAAGATAATTCTTTCTCATATTACTATTCCAAAATCATTTAAGATCGAATTCCCTCCAAAAATGACTTCATTATCACTTTTATACATAAGACACAGTAAATATTATAACTTAAATCTTCCGGATACTCTTTTGGAACTCAATATTACTGATAATGAATGGTCAAATTGTTCAAAAGACTCGAACTTCATTCCAAACTCTGTGACTACACTCTCTCTAATTTGTCATACCAAAAAAAAATAATTACCTGAATAATCCCATCCTCAATGATAAATCTTCAACTGGATTGTTATTCAATTTCTCCAAACCTATTACCTCAATCTTTGATCAAGCTTGATCTCAAAGTTAATACAATTACCAAAATTTATAATGGATTCATTCCATTATCAGTTCAGACCCTTAAAATAAGGGATCAATTTGATACTAATATTCTTGGATCAATATCATCCTCAGTAACAAAACTAGTTCTTTTTCTGATCGAGAAATGTAATAATGGGAAATATAATTCCACCTTCAATAAGAGAGTTGTCAATATCAAAAGATTACTATGATTATAATAATTTTGATTTATCCTCTTTAGAAGGATTGGTTAGAACTATTCAACCATCATCTTCTATGATATCATTATCTTTAGATTATAACTTTAAAATTGATAAAGGAGTATTTATTGATTCAATAACTAGCCTTACATTGAAGAATTTCAACAAGAACTTTAATGCTACTCATCTCCCTAGAAGTTTGGTCATTCTTGATATGTCATCTTTCTATTGAAAACATGCCATTGAGTTTAACTACAATTAGATTGAAGAAATACAATTATTATTATATAGATCTTCATAGACTAATCAATTTGGAGGAACTTTACATTCCAAATTTTAGAGGTGAAATTATTCCAGGTTGTTTACCCTCTAGTTTGATTAAACTAAATGTTAATCAATGCAAAATCAAAGATGGAAGTATCCCAAGTGGAGTGAAAATATATTCCTGTAGGAATTATATATCATCAAAAATGGTTGGAGAGAAATCATGTTTGGAAGAATTATCAACTTTATCGAATATATTACCAACAAGTATTACAAGTTTGGTGATAAAGAGTGATTTTGGTAAACTACCTGATCTTGGACTATATTTTCCCAACCTCAAGAATCTAAAAACAGACATATGCCATCTAAATCTTGAAGATCAACCACTTGGTCCAACAGTGCGCTATGTCAAGCTCAAAAAAAATTACCAAGGTACTATTTATGATTACAAGAGCAAGCAATGGTGGAAAGCATTCACCCTGTTCCATCCAGGAACTACCATCACTTTCTATCATCCAAGAATCACATGTAGGATACTAGACCAATACAATGCTCTAGTTCTATCTGGAACGAACAATGGAGGTATCATAAGATACAGGGATACCAAGATTGATTGAATAAAAGAATGAATGAATGAACATTGAGGTTGTCCAAGTGTTGAACGCTTGCATGCACGTGTGTTTAATAATCTATGGGTCGAGGGTCCGATGATCATTTCTGCGCATAGTGCTGTTGTAGTGATGGAGGATTGGGGGCTGGTGTCTGCTTGCATGAATCCTTGTGTGTGACCCAATGCTCATGTTGACATTGCTTGGAGCAATATGCAACGGTTTTGCAGTAGCCGCAGATCAATGGCTTCACCAATGTTTGCTTGCAGCAACTGCATCGATAGAGTTGGACGCCCAGATAGGCATCGCCTTCGCCACGTCCATTGCGCTCAGAGATCGTGTTGTTGTTGTAGGACAACAATGCCAGCATATCGTTCATCAACTTTTGGTTCGCCTGTTTGCTCGAGCCTTTGGTCTGTTGCGCAGGTGCGTGGTGTTGGTGGCCGTTGGTGTGGTGGTCGGCGTTCTTGGCTGCGCCTCCGCCTGCGCCACCCGAGCCAGTGGTGCCACCGCCATCCAACAGATTGTAACCAACAAGCTTCAATGACAGTTTAAACTGCGCCTTGTCCTTCTGCTCAAACACGCGCTGCCACTCGATGTAGTCGTTGTGTTTGGGCGTCAGAGTAATGAGATAGATGTTGGACATGTGATTCATCCACAGTCGATGATAGCGTCCCAGCTGTAGGTAGTTGGAGCAGTGATTGAATTCGTCGGTGCCGTTTGTAAACAGCGCGCAGCTGGTCCGCGACACCATCTCGCAGATGCCCACGCCGCGGATCAGCACTGAGGGCGACTCGCCGCTGCCAAAGAACAACGACTCGGTCCACTTTGACGTAAGGATCTGGTCGACCGAGTCGGCCACGTGTATCCACGGGCTGGCGGGATCGCCCCCAACCATGCCCGTCTGCTTGAGCTGCTCGTCTGCAGACTCCTCGCGTCCTTGCTGCTGCTGCGCCTTGATGTTGCCACTGATCACCTGCATTCCAACTCCATTCGCTGTCTTTGATCGATTGTCATGGTTCTCGCGCTTGACTATCACCATCACCAGATCGCCCTTGGGCGAGAACTCCATGTTGATGATGTAGTTCTTGGGCGATGTCTCCTTGTCGATCCATACGCGATCGGGTACAATGGGTCCGATCAGACGTGTCATCCACTCAAACTTGAGCGAGGGCATTGACTTGTTCGATAGAATGGCTGCCGACTGAGACTCGCGTGACACATTCCACAAGCAGTACTCGCCCAGTCCATCGTCGTTCCACGTGACGTACTCAAAGTTCTCGATGCGGTCCAGTCGTGGCGTTGGGTTGCAAGAGATGTGTGTCGGGCAGAACGGCAGGCCGAACGTGTTCTTGGCCGGGCCAATGATCGCAAGAGGGCCTATCTTGCGCGGGTCGTAGCTCACCGTCGATGACTTGAGCCACAGGTCAAATGACGCGCTCTGCTGCTGATACAGGCTGTTTGAGAGGCCAGTGAAGTCGACCGAGCCGACGGGGGGCGCGGGTGTCGACTGATTGTGCGTGCAGAACTGCTGTCGATACTGATTGTGCAGTTTCAATGCGTCCAGTGATAGCTTCTTGGCAATGGGTAGTTGGAGAAAGAACAGATAGTTTGGGAATCGCGATAATATTGCCACGAGCATCTGACTGTCCGATGAGAAACACGCGTCAATGTAAGCCATGCTTGTATCATAAAAGATCAACTGGAAGTAGTTCGGTCCTTCCTCATTGATCTTGTATCTATGTTTGATTGATTGAATGATTGATTGAGTTAGTGATCATTCATTCACTGACTCATCAACTCAATCATGGGTCACGTGTGACTTACACTGTCAGACATCGCAGTCCTTTGTAATAACATCCAATGATTAATAGGAGTCGCTTGTCGTGTGAGAGGAGTACTTTGCGAGGTCGTCGATAACGGAATGGTGGATTGGGAGAGTCGATGTTGAAGAGGATGTCCTTGAGCTTTGAGTTGATCTCGCCACTGCCCACGACACCGTTTGATGCCGGTGTCGTTGACACTTGTGAATCGCCCTCTATAAAGTCCATCGTGTGTACCCTATGCTCTTGATTCATACTTAATGCTATATTCATCTTTTGATACTTGTTCTTTGTTGTTGTGTCGCCTCCTGTATCTGAATCAACATTACTTGTTGATGTTGATGATGATGTCTGTGTTGGTGTTGATGATGATGTCTGTGTCTGTGCTTGTGTCGTCGCGGATTGGGACTGAGTGAGCTTGCTTGTCAACATGTTCAATCGTTCGGTATCGGTTGGGTAGAAGTAGATGTCACCATTGATCATCACAATCATGAGTACACCAAGTTCATCCGCTGATGATGATGATGTTGTTGTTGATGACGACGATGATGAAGATGAATCACTTGTTTTGTTCATGTTTTCGCCTTCGCCAGTACTATCATTGTTGTTATTGTTGTTGTTGTTGTTGATATTACTGAAACTGAATCCACCTTTATGTTGATGATGTTGTTGTTTGCTATCTGGATTGAATCGAACAAAGGGTAGGTAATCAAACAACAATGTATCCTTTGGATTGAAGTTGTTGAGGAGGCTGCCGTCACCACCACCATCACCATTCTCGCTCAACAAGTAGCTCTCAAAGCCCATCATGCTCGGCTGCTGATGTTGATGCTTTGAACTCATACTACTAATAACTACTACTATTATAAGTATGAATGAATGTATTATCTCTTTTAATAAATAAATGAATGAATGAAAGTGATCTCGAATGAAGTTGTGTTCAAAAAAACGAAGAAATTGCAAATTTTACAACTTCTTTCATTCATTTGAGCTCATTTATAAATACATGAACAGATAGAGATAATTATAATGATAATTAGTTATCGTCGACTAAATGCCCTGTTGAGCATTACACCGAGAATTCCCAAACCAGCTCCAAGCTTTGAGAAGAGCAGTGCCAATAGAAGATGGAATACAGCGTCGATTAGGTATGATAGCATCGGGTAATCTCCCTTGAGACATTCTATCCTCCGTTTGATCGTCTCCCAGGTGTTGAGCGTTGGTACGTATAGCGTATCACACTTGTTGAGATGGTCAAGCATTATCTCTCTGGATCGCAATCTCTTCTTTTGTGCATTGGCCTGTGAGTGCTCGTCATCATCATCATTAATGGGAGGATTGTCAACAAACAATATCTTGTTGCAACTTTTGATGATTGGTCCCTTTTGTTCGATTAATAATAATAGATACATTGAATGAATGAATGAGTGAACAGTGAGTTTGGTTTGTGATCATGATCAATCGACTTACGATCTTATTATCTTTGTTGAGGGCGGACAACTCTTGTTCGACCTTGGCGGGATTGTTGAAGATTTTACTGTTTGTACAAACGATGGTCACGTACTGCAACACCTCCTCTTTGAAGATTACAGAGGTTAGGAGGCGGAAGGCTATTTGCTCCACATCAGAGAATCGATCCTTTATAACAAAGAACACTTGATGTACACCTTGATTAAGAGTTACAAGCGTTTGGATCAGATCGGATATTGATTTTTGCAAAGTAGAATCGTGGCCGCCAATGCCCATGGTATCAATGACTTGGTACCATAGATCACCTATTTGGATAGTCTCTGTCTGGAACTTCCCTAATATATTCTGACTCAATAACCCATTGGCCTCCTTATACAAATCTGTTCCAGTAATTACATTACAACAAGCACTCTTGCCATTGCCTTCATGAATTAAATGAAAAAGTTAAGTTAGTGATTGATTGATTGATTGAGGGAGGGATGAGTACTAACCTGTCCTTCCAAGGACTATCAAGCTCCTCAGATTCTCTTTATTCATTATCTCTATTCAATCAATTCGCTAATCAACAAATGATCATCATCACCAACCTTGAAAGATTGGCTGGGCAGGTATGGAAGTCAGGTGGGCCCATTTTCCAGAAGTTTAGGGGCTGGATGATCTTTTGGAAAAGTCAACTTGTCAGTGGTTTGTTAATTTAATTGTTAATTTAATTAGAATGATTGTTGAATGAGTTGGATTAGGACTGGATAGATTATCTCATGTGCATCCAAAGCCCACACATAGTCTAAATGGGCATAGTCTGGTATCTTTTGCCAGTCAATCACTGATTGTTGGGGTAGTTGTGCGACCAAGTCTGCCACATCAACTGGATCAGCCAACTCATCCAATCCACCAGAGAACAAAGCAACCTTTACACTGCTTGGGAACTTTGATACATCATATACTGGTGGCTTCAACCTATGATTCATTCATTGATTGATATGATTGATTGAATGTTAGTGTGTGATTGAGATGGTACCATCCCTGAGTGATTGATATACATACTGTTTGTAATGATCATAATTACCAAGTGGACCATAATCAAACATTTGGAATTGCTTGCTACGGACATCTTGTGCCCAGTGACGGATGTTTTGAACAGAGGTACCGGCTGGCTCATGACCAGAGACGACTGGCATGCGACTGTCATTGAAGGCGCCACGATGCGGACCGCAGAGGAACTCGATGACGGTGGCACAGCACTCGTCACAGGCGATACAAAAGTCGACAAAGGTCGTGCGAAGCTTCTCGGGCGTGGGCAGGAATCGCTCCTCGCCAAACAGGGCCAGTAGATCGTCGGCACGCAAGTCCGCCAGCAGTCGCAGACCATTGTTGCTGATGTGTGTTACGTTGCCCACGGGTCCTAGCGCGAGGAACAATGGCGCCCACTCGGCCAGCGACTCGTTGTGCATGTAACCAATGAATGCCTGGATCGTGCCTTCGGAGTGACCGATGTAGGGCATGCTGTTGTATGATGTGGCGAGGCGCACGTAGTTGACGGTGGTGGGCAGGTCGTACCAGCCCATGTGGTCGAACGAGAACTCCCAGAAGCGCTTGTCCGTGACGGGGATGGTCGTGTGGTTGGTGCTGTATGTGTTGCCGCGGTTGTTGCCCATCCAAACGTCGTATCCTGCGTCGGCCAGGATGTAGGCCAGTGACTCTGATGGCTCGTTTATGATCCATGTGATGGATGAGTCGAGTAGACCATGCTGCAGGAGCACTGGCTGACGTGTTTGGTTGCTTGGACCTGAACGGCCATATGGTATGCGGAACAAACCCAATATATAACCATCCTCTGTCGTAGCATAATGTTGTTCACAAGGATATCCATGACCATTGACTATCTCCACGAATGTTTTAAGATCATCGCCACCATGTCTAATCATCGTTGCATTTATGCAAGGTGTTACCAAGCACAACAAAGTTGTTGCAACAATAACAAATATTATCACTTTACTAATAATCATTTTATATATTTATATATTTACTATTACTATTACGACTACTACTACTACAAATACAATACTAACTAACTAACTAACTTAAGAGAGAGTGAAGAAGAAGTACTAATACTTTGGTGTATGTATGAATAGAGATGAGATAAATGAGAGCAAGTAAGTGAATGAGTTAAAGGTGTGAGTGTGAGCCCAATGTTGAGATACTGTATTCGAACAAGATAAAGGCAGAGAAGCATTGTGAGTATCTTGATGGTGTGTGGTCAACATAACTCCAAGTTGAAACAACTCAATTGTTTTGATTGATCTGTTGGGGGTACTCATCAATCTCATTGTTACGAAGGGGCATCATCAATTCCCCCACACTCACACACAACACAAAAGCCCATCACGATTATAAAGATGAGTTAATTCTAAAACTGGTAATTATATGTATACAGATACAAATAAATAAAAAAAGATAAGTCAATGAAATTGAAGTGAGTGACGACTCTTTGATTGCCGAGTCAGATTGTTGTTGGTGTGATGTCAGGTGATGAGATCGAAAGTACTCTCTTCAAGTGTCAAGTGGGGTGATGTGGAAAACTGGTGGAAAGTAGAGAATATTGACCGATGATCAAATATCTAAACCCAACTTAATACTACTCATCTTGCTTGGATCAATAACAATCATAACACATTGTTATAATACCAAACATATATACACTTTTACAAACAGACACATAAACACTACAAGTAATAGATGGAGGATACAACAAGTGTCCTCAAAGATTATATAAAGACCAATACCCTGTTGAACAATGATGGTACTCTAAACCAATATCTTACTGCTATAAGTATGTATATGATTGATTGAATGATTGATTGATTGATTGATTGATTGAACTAACTTGGACAACAAACAAGACTTAGATCTTAAGTTTATTAACAATCTTACAGAGTATGTACAGTCCAAGTACAAGTCTGATGATATACTGGTAGCATGTCTGGATGCATTGGCTCTATATGTACCAGATAACATTGTCACAGTAGATGATGACATGGATGATTATGGTCATACATACTTTGAAGATGATGATGGTGTACAATCAACATCAATATCAACAACTACATCAAAGTCTACAACAACAAACAAAATCAATGGTACAACTACAACAACTACAACAACAACAACATCAAGTAGAAGTAGTTCATACAAGTTTAATAATAATGAATATGATTATGATGATGATGATGAACCGGTGGAGCCACCGTATGATTGGCGCAAGGATCTATGTTTGGACGATCAGTATGGAGGACACATTGATAAGAAGGACCTGGAACAAATTAGATTAATACAACTACAGGATGAACAAGAGGATAAAGAGTTATTGGCAAGAATGTATAGAGAACAACTCGATGAAGACATGTCCTATGTAGAGTTGGAAAGGATGCGAATATCAGATGATCAAATCAAACAAACAAATATTAGTTTGGTCGTGGAGCAAGAGCCAGTCGAATGCCAGATATGTTTCAATACCTACGAGATTGATAACTTACATACCCTATCAGGATGTGCTCATCAGTATTGTGTAGAATGTATGCAGAGTTATTGTCAAGATAAGATAAAGGATAGAGCCAACCCAATTGTTGTAAGTTACCCTCATACCCTTGCCCTTGCCCTCGCCCTTGCCCTTGACCTTGCCCTTGCTCTAACACCATCACACCCTAACCTAGTGTCCAACACCTACTTGTAAGACTGAGGTCGTACCGATTGATATACAGATCTTGGTCGGTGATGAGTTGTACTTGAAGTACAGCACATCATGTTTGGACAGGTTGATCAGTACCAGTGCCGACTTTGCATTATGCACAACGCCAAACTGTGAATATGCATTCATCAACGAAGGTGATGTGGCAAGATTCGAGTGTCCAAAGTGTAAGAAGTAGGTATCCACTCAATCAATCAAACTTGGATCACCACATGGAATCAATCCACTCACTCACATTTCAATCAATCAATCATACAGGGTTCAATGTTTAAAGTGCAAGACAGCGTATCATGAGGGTACTAGTTGTGAGAAGTATCAACAATGGCTCAAGGAGAATGGACAAGGTGATACACTGTTTGAAAAGGTCGTCCAAGAGAAAGGTTTTAGAAAGTGTCCAAAGTGTAGTGCTACCGTTGAGAAGAGAGAAGGTTGTAATCACATGACCTGCAGGTGTCAATGGCATTTGTAAGTATACCATTATATTTGGCTTGGATTGTATTTGCATGGTTAACATACAAGTGATACTAACTCAATCAATCAATCAAACAATCAAACTGGATCCAGTTGTTATCGATGTGGAGGAAACTTCCCATGTCTTAATCCAAATTGTGCCAAGTAACAGACAGAGTAGTAATAAATTGCCAGATTATTACATGTATATGCCAAACTATTCGCCATAGTAATTCAATACCTTGGCTTTTGATTACATTACAAGTCTCAATTTATGGGATTATGTGTGTTCAAGGGAAATCGTCAAGAATGAACACGACTCATGATCGTTTAATTGAGAAACCAAACATTCATACATACATCAAGTATTAATATATATATATATATATAAATATAGACGTTCGAACGAATAACACAACTAACTTATATGTTGTAATAACATTAATAACATACATAATAACACTTACTTACTTACTTTATATATAAAGATATAAAAGATGCCTCCTATTACATCGATCACACCAGCATTGCTGGCTTCATTACAAGGCTTTACATCAAACATTAGGAATATCTGTGTATTGGCACATGTTGATCATGGTAAGATACATACATACAACTCATGCGCGTACTCTTGACCTCATTCACTCACTCACTCACTCGCTCAATCAATCAATCAATCATTCAATTAAATAACAGGTAAAACTACATTATCTGATTGTTTGATATCATCTAATGGCATTATATCACCTCATATGGCTGGCAAGCTGAGGTATCTCGACTTCTTGGAGGATGAGCAGGAACGTGAGATAACAATGAAGGCAGCATCGATCTCTTTGCTGTTCCCCAATCAACAGAATAACTATTTGATCAATCTCATTGATTCACCAGGCCACGTAGACTTTAGCAGTGAAGTGTCGACGGCTGTTAGAATCACAGATGGCGCGCTCGTGCTGGTCGACGCCGTCGAGGGTGTGTGCATCCAGACGCACGCCGTACTGCGCCAGGCGTACCAAGAGCGTGTGCGTCCATGTCTGGTCATCAACAAGATCGATCGTCTAATCACAGAGGTGAACATGACGCCTCTCGAAGCCTACCAGCACATCAAAAAGGTGATTGAGCAGGTCAACGCCGTCACGGGAACACTGTCATCAGAAGAGATCATTCTGAAGGAGATCAGCGAGTACGAAGCACAGGGCACGACAACTGACACCAATGACGCCGCTGCTAGCGATGAAGTCAACGAAGAGACTGCCAACCTAACAACGATCGGAAACGAATTCCTATTCTCACCAGAGAAGGGCAACGTCGCCTTCACCACCGCCTTCTCAGGCTGGGGATTCACAGTCAAGCAGTTTGTCGATCTTTGTCACAAGAGTATGTCGATACATATGGGCGATCGGCCGCATCAATCATTCATTCACTCACTCATTCGTTCACATCGATCAATCAATCAAACATAGAGACTGGAATCAAGAAGGATATATTGGCCAAGACATTGTGGGGCGACTACTACTATCATCCAAAGGAGAAGAAGATCTACAAGACACAGAAGGGTAACCTGTCGCCCATGTTTGTAACATTCATCCTAAACTCAATATGGGAGGTACACAAGATGGTCAATGCCGACTCGATGTATGTACACTCAAAAATCAATTAATCATGCCAATCAATCTGACACAGCGACACGACACCACGACAACTATAGTGACAAGGAGCGTGTGGACAAGATAGTAGCGATGCTTGGATTGAAGATACACCCAAGAGATCTGGCGTCAAAGGATTCATCAGTGTTGCTGCAGGCATTGATGCAGGCATGGCTACCACTGAGTGAGGCTGTGTTGTCAATGGTTGTCGACTGTCTACCCAATCCAATCGATGGACAAAACAGACGAATGGAGAAGATATTCAAGCCGATCTCATCGGCCAACATCACCGAGGAGCTGAAAGAGAAACAACAATCACTGCTCAAGGATTGTCGCGAGTGCAAACAGGGCGAGGAGACAGATGTCGTGGCCTACGTCGCCAAGGTGTTTGTCTCGAATGAGAAGCGTGGCGTGTCGGCCACGGTACAGCGCACTGTGCCACCACGTCGTGTCCAGCCATCAGCCGTCCCTCTAGCTCAACGAATGGCACAGGCAAGCTTGAACGAGGCTACCACAAGCACATCACAGACCTCACAGGACACGCAATCAACCCCAGCACCAGCACCAGCACCTGTTGTGGTCCCAAGGAGGATGCCTCCACAAGTAGTTAACAACAACATCAACACCAATCAGACAGAGGACAAAGGCGAGTTTGTTGCTGTGGTCAGAGTGTTCAGTGGCACGCTGAGGAAGGGCCAGAAGGTCTTTGTGCTTGGACCAAGATACGACCCACTCAAGCCAACACACGATGTCGTAGAGATTGAGATCACCCATCTCTACTTGCTGATGGGTCGCAGTCTTGAGCCGATCGAGTCCGTGCCCGCAGGCAATGTCTGTGGTGTCGGTGGCGAGATTGGCAACCTGGTACTCAAGTCGGCCACCATCACCACCACCCTGCAATGCCCACCACTGGCCAACATGATGTTTGTCTCATCGCCCATCGTCAAGGTGGCCATCGAGCCAGAAAACATCATCGACATGCCCAAGCTCATCCACGGCCTGAAGATGCTGAACCAGGCCGACCCCCTGGTAGAGGTGTACGTGCAGGAGAGTGGCGAGCACGTCATTGTCGCCACGGGCGAGTTGCATCTTGAGCGATGTGTCCGCGACCTTAAGGAGACGTTTGCCAAGATCAACGTTAATGTTTCGGCGCCAATCGTGCCGTTCCGCGAGACCGTTGTCATTGGCGATGCCAACAAATCACCGATTGCGACCAACGGAGACGTGATTATACAGCGAACTGCCAACAGGATGGTCAATGTCAAGGTGAAGGCGATCCCCTTGCCCAAGAACATCACAGACTTCCTCGAGAAGAACTCGAACAACATGCGCGACCTGTTCCTTGGTGGAAAGATGAAGGACAAGCAGCTAGAGAACGAGAAGGGCAGCAAGAAGGAGGCCGAGCAGACAGCCCGCGAGGAGTTCCACAAGAAGCTCACTGACGAGTTTATCAAGGCTGGCGATGTGTGGGCCAGCCAGGTCAACAAGGTCTGGGCCTTTGGACCCAAGCACATTGGCGCCAACATTCTCTTGAATCATGTTCCAGGCTATGCAGAGTCAGACGTCTGGAGACCAGCCTTCCAGCGTGGCATTCAGAGTCTCAAGAAGACAAAGCAGCAGGTTCGACAACTACAGTCCAGTCAAGACGAGGAGCAGAAGGACGACGATGCAGTCAAGTCCACCAACAGCGACAACGAAGAGGATGATCAGCAGAGCGAGGACACAAACAGTGTGAGCGAGATGTCTGCCAAGCAGACCAATCTGTTGGAGGGCGACGAGAAGTACAAGAGGATAGTGGAGCTGGACAATAGCATTGTCTCGGGATTCCAACTGGCGACATACGCAGGCCCGCTGTGCGACGAGCCGATGATGGGCGTCTGCATGGTCGTCGAGGACATTGAGTTTATCGAGGGCGACTACTCTGACAAGTACGGTCCAATCTCTGGCCAGATCATCTCCACCATGAAGGAGGCATGTCGCAATGCCTTCCAGGCGAGACCACAACGTCTGATGGAGGCACTCTATCTGTGCGAGATACAAGTGTCGTCGGCGGCACTGGGCAAGATGTACTCGGTGCTGGCATCACGTCGTGCTCAGATCATCAAGGAGGGAATGAAGGAGGGCACACCCATCTTTTGTATCCAGGCACGCCTGCCCGTCGTCGAATCATTTGGCTTCTCACAACAGATTATGATCAAGACATCGGGCTCAGCGAGCACTCAGCTGTACTTTGACAATCACTGGGAGACATTGGAGCAGGACCCATTCTTCCAGCTCACAACCGAGGAGGAGCTGGAGGATCATGGCTCCAACGTAGCCAGTTTGGGCAACAACATTGCCAGACAATACATGGACAAGATCAGAAGGAGGAAGGGTTTGGCAGTCGAGGAGAAGCTAGTTCAACATGCAGAAAAGCAGAGAACACTCAAGAAGAATAAGTAAACGATTCATCATCCTCAAATGCTCCATCATTATTCAATCATTCAATCATTCAATCATTCAATGCTGGCCAGCATAGTATCGGTGTTGGTATATTCATTTCTTGGTCGTCAGCTTCACAGTCCTTGGATTGTCAAAGCAAGCAAGCGGATTGTATGATGGCATAGGTACTTCAGCTGGCTTGGTGAACCTAATATGTGTCTTTGGGATTGCATACTCCGGCTTGATGACACCCGTCATGATTGGCGCTCGATGTGTCGAGGACACAGTCTTGACTGCAGGAGGCTTGACTATCTTGGCAGGTGTTTCCTTTGGAACGGGTGGAGCATGCTCTTGCTTGACAGTCTTGGCTGCCAACTTGACTTGGGACATGAGAGTCTTCTTGGGCGCCGGAGGATTGCTCTTGGGAACTGCAGGACGTGATGATTCCTTTGCCGGGAGTGATGTGGCAGAGCGGGACGATGTATTCTTGTAGACACCGAATCTGTTGGTAGTGACTTCTTTGTCATACTCCTTCCTGATGTGAATTGGAACCAATGTTGAAGGGACCCACACAGGTTTCTCATAACCCTCAAGTACAACAAGGTATTGTGAATACCTATTAACCGTATTCTTGTCTGTTGCTCTCAATACTGTTGGCAATGGATATGGAATTGAAAGTAATACATCTGATTTGTCTTTCTCTTTCTCATTCTCATTCTCCTCATCATCTAAATGTTCAAAGTTCTCTAATTCCTCCATCATTAACATCTAACTAACTAACTATTATTATTACTATCTCTATCTCTCTACCAATTCTTTATCTCTCTCATTGAATGAATGAATGAATGAATACATTCATTAAGTATGGAGTATGTTTCCAGATTGTTATACTTGGTCAATCATAACCTTAAAAGGAGAGGTTGTTTGAGTTACCCAAACACAACACCAATCTTAGAAGTTCAATTGTCATCAACTTTGGTAATCATTTCCACTTATGGTCAAAACAGATTAATTCGGAGTATTCCTTGTACACTCTCTATGATATCAACTAAATGTAGTAATACATACTCTTCTTCAAACTTTAACAACAATGAATGATTACAGTATCAACAAACTTACTAAAACATACAACACCTACCAACCATAAACAACTCACACCTCTTCTGAAAGGCAAGAGAATCTTCTTTAGGACTTCGAAGGTTGACAAACATTCAATCACTCAATCAATCAATCGATCAATTGAATTAATCAATCAACCAATCTAATCAACCAATCAAACAATCATTTGACTCGCCAAGTAGAAGATCATCGTCCAATGAGTAAAACTTGGAGTACGAATCACTGGATGCATAATTATCAACTGACCAGCTACATCAAGAGTATATCATTGAATGGTCAGAATCAACAACAAGATCAAAGAACACGATTGAACATATATTCATATTATATGTAGGATGATGTGTGAATGAAAGTAAGTGACTTTACTGGATGGATGACTGTATTACTGGTTGATACATCAGAAGTGGGTGGGGTGATGTCAGAGATAGAACATCCTCACTCATGTTGTTCAGATCGAATGACTACCAACCAACCACCACACCCGGGACAAACTGAACTTACAAACAGACGTCAGACAGAGAGATAGACAGACAGACGTTAACACACCACACACCACACACCACACAAACTACATTCACACACACATGTCAAGTTATGTCAGTGCAATGGTCGGATTACCATTTCAGTAGATGTCAGATCATGAATCGCTCAGCATTGTCGTCGTCGTCGTTAATAATTATGACATCCAATCACCGATGTGTATGGGGGCAGGCAGGCACATCATATTTATTGAACAAATGAACAACAACAAACAACAACATGAGGACCTCACATCTGGTGACATTGATTGGTTGGTCCAACCAATCCCCTATCCCCATTCCCTAACATGACAAGTTTAGATGATGAATGGGTTAGAGAGGGGTGGGGCTTTCTTACCCTGCACCCCATTCCCTACCATCTTCTCCCAATCTCTCCCATCTCCCATCTCCCATCTCATCCTTGCATCCCATCTTATCCATCCTAGTTGCTCCACTTACAACTAATTAATTAGACATTGAATAGACAAATAATATTATTATTATTGTTATTATTGAAGTTGTCTAAAGACACATCACTCTCTGTCCCTCTCATTCATAATATATATATATATATATATATAATAACATATCATATAAATAATAATAATAATATTTATCTGTATTCTATTCGAACAAATAATATAAATATATTTAAAGAATGATGAATAAATCATTCATTTATTTGGTATTGTTATCTATTGCCTTGTTGGCATTTGTAACAATGGCCACAGAGGAAAGAATAGATGTTCATATCCATAAAGATGATTCCAATATATTTGTAAACAAAAGGGTGATCAAGATGGATAAGTACCCTACAAAGAAACAACCAAAGACACTCGCATCAGCCAAGTACACCAAGAAGCGTGATGCATTTGTCACCCAACTCCTATCCAAAATGTCCATTGTCGAGAAGATTGGACAAATGACTCAAGTATGTTATGTTAATCCTCAATCTCCTTCTTGAGATACAATCACTAACTCAATCAATCAATCAATTATATTTAGTTGGACATTGGAATGATCACAAAGCCAGACTCGATGGAATTGAATACTACCGCCCTTGAATTTATTACGAGTACTTACAAGGTTGGAAGTTTCCTGAACACTCCATTCGCACCAGGTAGATTGGAGAATAATACTTTGTACTCTATGAATACCACTACATGGATGGATCATCTCAAAACAATCCAAGAAGCATCGATAAAGAACAGTCCAAACAAGATTCCAATGTTATACGGTTTGGATTCAATGCATGGTGCCAACTATATCCATGGCAGTACACTCTTCCCTCACGTAAGTCAATCATTCCCTCTCCTTCCTTCATATCAGCATGTTAACATTGAAATTCATCTACAATAGAACAATGGATTAGCCGCAACATTCAATCCAGAGTTGGCTAGGAGATCGGCGATGGTAACAGCAAAGGATACATCGGCTGTTGGTATTCCTTGGGCTTTTGCTCCTGTTCTTGACTGTGGAATGAACCCACTTTGGCCAAGATTCTATGAGACCTTTGGAGAGGATCCACATCTCGCCGCTACTATGGGCGCCGCCGCTACCAAGGGACTCCAAGGAGGTGTTGACCCATCCCGTGGCCCAATTAAACGTCCATCTGTTGTCGGTTCTGCCAAGCACTTCTTTGGATACTCTGATCCAAGATCTGGCAAGGATAGAACTCCCGCTTGGATCCCAGATGTTATGCTCCGTCGTTACTTCCTTCCATCGTTCGCCGCCGCCATCAATGAGGGATTGGGAACTGTCATGGTCAACTCAGGAGAGGTCAATGGACGCCCAATGCACGCCACCAAGAAGTACCTGACCGATCTGCTTCAAGATGAACTTGAGTTTGAGGGACTCATCGTTACCGACTGGGAGGATATCATTAAGTTGGTATACTACCACCACGTCGCGAGCAACCACTATGAGGCAATCATCATGGCCCTGGATGCTGGTATCGACATGTCCATGGTCCCTCTGGACTACTCATTCCCAATCTTGCTCAAGGAGCTGGTTGACTATGGAGTTGTGCCCGAGAGCAGACTCGACAGGAGTGTCCGCAAGATCCTCAACACCAAGTACGCTGTCGGTCTGTTTGACAACCCGTATCCAGATCCAAAGAATCCATTCTTGCCAACTGTTGGTGGAGCTGCTGATCGTTCTCTTGCTGCAGCAATTGTAGCCGAGTCAATCACTTTGTTGAAGAATGACAAGAAGACCCTCCCACTCAAGGCTGGAAGTTTAAACAACCTGTTCATCACCGGTCCATCTGCTCACAGCTTGAAGAATCAAAACGGAGGTTGGTCTGTACATTGGCAGGGAGCAATCTATGACAATGAGTTCCCCTTTGGCAAGACCATCCTGGATGGTGTCAAGTCAAACTTGAACTCAAGCAAGGTGACCTACAGCCTCGGTGCCCAATTCGGTGTCAAGAACGAAACCATGCTCAAGGAAGCAGCCAAGTATGCCTCTCTGGCCGACGCATCCATCGTTGTAATTGGTGAGCTACCAGAGGCAGAGACACCGGGCAACATCAACGATTTGACAATGGACCAGTCTTGCACAGACCTTCTCGAAGTTGTAGTCCAGGCATCAAAGGGTCCAGTCATTCTTATTATTATTGAGTCCAGACCAAGACTCATGGATCCAGACCTGATCAACAAGGTCGATGCTGTTGTTGCTGCCTACTTGCCAGGTTCCGAGGCAGGCCAACCAATTGCCGACATTTTGTTTGGAAAGATCAACCCTTCCGGTCGCCTACCATTCACCTATCCCGCCAGGAGTGGTGACATCGGAGTGCCCTACTACCACAAGTACTCAGAGGTAGATGCCACCGCACCTCTTTTCCAGTTTGGCACAGGACTCAGCTACACCACATTCAACTATTCATTGGTGAGTGTCACTGCCGACAAGGTTGGTCCAAAGAACAACAACTACACCTCCAAGTTGGGCGATAGCGTATCGGTCACCTTGGATATCACCAACACTGGTTCAGTGCAAGGCAAGCATACAGTCCTTTGCTACTTGAGTGATGTGTATGCCGAGACCACACCAGAGGTCAAGTTGCTAAAAGCATACACCAAGGTAGACCTTGGTCCCAAGCAAACCAAGAGGGTCAAGCTCACACTGGATACATTCGACTTCTCATTCATCGACCCAGATTCAAAGGTTACACTCGAGTCTGGATTGTTCATCATCAACATTGGCGACATACAGTTGTATTTGACAATGAAATAAGTGTCTTCATTCAGTCATCCACCAATCACCTACATTGTTACCAATAAACCAATCAACAAATTGTTACATATACACAAGATAACATGTTATCCAAAATGGGCCATGTTTATTTGTGTTCGTTCAGGGCCTTTCGTAGACTCTCTTCGATGACCTGGTAGACCATCTGGGGGTATGGATGCTCGAGTATAATACATATCTCACCTTTCTTCTTGATGATGGTGTTGGCATCGGCAGGTGAGGGCGCTGTCTGATCAAATTCTTGGATAGGAGAGGAAGTAGTGATGAGCAGCTCCAGTGATTGATCGAGACGCACACCCAGTCGCTCGACGATCGCCTTGAAGTGATAGGACTTCATCACAATGTCGGACCATTTGAGCGGCAGGTAGATGATGTCGTTGCTCATCCTGTTTGCCAGTTTTGAGACCATCATCAACAACAAGACCATCTCATCCTGGATGCGCAGTCCTTCGTCCAAGTCCTCGACCATGTCTGCTCCGCCAACGCCTGCATTCTGGAATTCATCGCACAATGAGAGCGCATTGTCAATGGTTCTGTCGACAATGCCAGAGAGTGACATGACCTGATTCATTGAGTTGCGCAGCGTGTAGTTTAGTGTTTCCAAGTAGTCGAATGAACCCTGTAACAGCACCAAGTACTGCTCCTGCTCTGGTGTCTCTTTGAAGTCGTCCATGAACTGATATTCGGATGCCATGTTCTTCAGGTCCGACTTAATCAACAAAAACATAAACATTGGCGTCAGATCATTGGCGTCCATTCTAACAATCTGGCTTGTCGCTTCGTTCAGACCATCGATCTTGTCCGATGGAGTCCTCTTCTCTGGCAACCTCTTCATTATCTCCAAAGCCCTTGGGAATGCCTCCACATTCTGCTCCCAACTGCTCTCTGATATATCCAACTCGCTATAGCTTAGATCAATATACATTGCTATCCTCTGTTGTGTGAATAGGTCTCTGGACTTGTACTGTAGTAGATATATGAGTGAGTGGAGTGTGGTACACGATTGGTTCAATAACAACTTACAACTTCATGGTAAAGGTGAATGATGGTGTCGTATGTCTGAGAGAATAATGTCTCTTTGTAGTACCGGATATAGTTTGTGTCCATGACATTGTTGTCAAGCCAATCTAGAAGTGGGGCATGGCATGTTAGTTGCATGGAATCATTCCTTTTGTGGTTAAACAATCAAACATACCAAAGAACTTCTTGATGGTGTCTTTGGTGCGCGTGAGAAGGATATTGGCATTCTGATGCGTCATGTTGATGGCGTAGTGCTGCTTGATGATGGTGATGATCTTTCTAAATAGTATTCCGAAGTGTGAGCTTCTGAATGGTGACTCCAGGTAGCTGATCTTGTCAAGTGGGAGGCGCGTAGCCTCTGATGGATTCAATGCGTTTAGGTCCGAGAAGTACTCCTTCAGTATCTTTGACTCGGCCATTGATCTGTATCTGATGATGAGTCGACACAACTCTTGATTGTCTCTCTTCATCGACAACTGCAAGGCAGATGCGCAGACATTGTTAATCTCATCTATATAGTCCATCAATTGTTCTCCACTTAAGCTATCAGCTAGCTTATCAAGTATCGACTGTGCAAATGTCTGTTTGTTATTTCATAGGTGTTAGTAAGTGCGCCATGGTCTATTGTTGTGTTGCAGAGACCTACCTTTGATCGGACTGTGTATGCTACAAGGTGAAGAGGTGAGTTGCCATTGTCATCCTTGACCAGGAGTGATTGAGCTGTTGAGTGTTGCAGGTAGAGTTTACAAAGGTGATAGTTGCCATTGGAAATGGCAATGTGCAGTGGTGTCTGATTGGATGATGTCTGAGAATGAGGGAGGTGTAAGTGTTTGGTCTCGCGAGTCTCATCCCCATCAGTAAGTTACTTACCTTGGCAGCAATGATCGATGGGTTGATTGAGAGTATCTTGGTGGCAGCTTCCAATTGCAGCTCCTTGGTGAAGCCAACCTTGTCAGACGGGCCGCCAGATGTGCCTCCAACTCTCTTGGAGTCTGGTGTGGCTGCAGATGCTGGCGCAAGACTAGGGGCTGGTGTCGTGGTCTTTGGTGTTTTGGATGAAAGCCTGTGGAGAGGTGTCCACTTGTGATAGTCTGCCAACATGGGTGATGCGCCACACTTGAGCAGATAGTTGGCGGCGTGGAAGAAGCCCGCCTCGCAGCACACATACAGGGGTGTCCTACCCTTAGTGTTCTGCGCATTGAGCAGCATGCCAGCGGCCTCCAGCACGAACATCACTGAGGTGATCTTGAGGGAGGAACATGCCACGTGCAGGAATGTCGACTTGCCTGGCAGCTCGTAGGATAATGATATAATGGGCTTCTGTTTGATTGCTAGTCCGAGGAATATCGTGTTTCCTGACTCTGTCGCCATGATCATCTCCTCCAACTTGGTTCGCTTCTTGGGCGCACCGTTGTCTTTGTCCTTGGGTTGTGTCGCCGTGGGCGTGGCGTTGGTCGAGTGTGTCCTCGTATGGCCATGTGGTCGATTGCTATTATGTATGATCTTCTCGAGTGATGATGATCGCACGCTATCCACTCTCTTTGACTCGCTACCCCCGACAGGCGTCGTGATGATACCGCCAGTGCTGTGTTGCATCGGCTTCCCGCCGCCACCACCCACGAGAGTTATGTCTATCTTTGGCTTGGGTGCCGAGTCCCCTGTGGCCAGATCCAACTCCAACTTGGTCGACAACGAAGACGTGGTGGTAGTCGTGGTCGATGAAGACGACGACAGAGTACTCATTGGCGCAATAGAATCTGTTAGACTTGATGTACTGTTGGTATCACTTATATCATCGTCCATTGTAGCCAATGCCAATGCCGATGACAACGATGAAGGAGGTCTTAGAAATGAGTCATCAGTGTCGACCACCGATGAACTTGAGTTTGAATCACTAAGTCTGTCAACATCATTCCCCAGAAGTGTCTGTTGTTGTTGTTGTAATTGTAGAGATGGTGATGAAGATGTACTATTATTGTTATTCTCCATCGTCATCCACCTTATATATATAATCTAGATGAAGATGTTACTGTTATATATGAATGATTGAGTGAATTTGTGAATTAGTGAATGAAAGAATGAAAGGTGTGAAGGGGGAGGTGATCCCTTGCAAAGAGTCATTCACTTTGTTTGAATTTTGGTGGATTTTAAAGATTTTATTTGAATAGTACAACAATGGACGAATCAGGAGTCACTTTTTGATCACTCGTTCAGACCAACCATGCTGGTGGATGGTGGTAGTGTTAGGGGAGGGGATGGGATGGAGGACATTTATTGACCTCTCAAGAATATGATATAAATAGATAATAGGTGGAGAGATGATGGAAAAGACCTAACTAACAATCAATGTGTCTGATTGATTGAATGAATGAATGAATGGAATGAAGCGAGCGAGCGAATGAACGAATGAACGAACTAAAGTGATCGATCTATCAAGGCATCGTTTGAATGCTTGTTGCTGCAGTGTTTAGGAGAGGCGTCTGGTGCTGACCAGTAGGGGTCGCTGGAAGGATGGGTATACTAGAGGAGGATTGCTGAAGGACTACATCGTGTTGCTGTTGCTGTTGTTGTTGTTGATGTTGCTGTTGCTGTTGTATCTGATGTTGTTGTTGCTGTATCTGATGCTGTTGTTGTTGTATCTGTTGTTGTTGTTGTTGTAATTGATGTTGTTGCTGTTGATGCTGTTGGTGCTGCGTCTGTTGTGTCTGTTGTTGTAATTGCTGTTGCTGTTGCTGCATCAGTTGTTGCTGCATCAGTTGTTGCTGTTCGGGCGAATCAATGAGTGTCTTTAACAGGGAGATGAGTATAGGGTAGTCCAGTGGCTTGGTCATGAACTCGTTGCAGCCTGCGTCCAGACAGATGCTCTTGTGGCCTGCCGACGTGTCGGCAGTCAACGCGATAATCGGTATCTTGCGCAGGTTGTGCTCGCCCTCAAACTTGCGGATCATCCTGGCGCAGGTGATGCCGTCCATGACGGGCATGTGAATGTCCATCAGGATCAGATCGTACGTGGCGTGCGCGATCTTGATCTTCTCGAGCGCCAGCTGTCCGTTGGACTGAAGCTCCACCTTGAAGCTGTGCTTCTGCAGCACGGTCGTGGCAATCCTCGCGTTGACGGGGTTGTCCTCGACCAACATGATGTTGACTGAGCTGTAGCTGCGAGGCGTCTGCGGCCCAGTGCTTTGCTGCGACATGTTCTGCTTCTGCTCGACATACTCTTGCTTGTGCACCGAGTTGGACGATGTCGTATCGTCGTCAAAGTCGATCTCGGGGAGGGTGGGCACGGGTGTCGCGTCCAGCTTGGGGCTCGTCTGTACAGAAGCGGACGCAGGCGTCACCTCTATTGGCACATCGTCTGAGGTGTTGGATGCGTTGAGGCCAGGTAACAGAGGGATGGGCGGTGTCGGATCGACACCGCCCATTCGTCAGCAGGTCCATATGAGTGCTTGTGGACGGGTTGCTGGCATTGGACAGGAGGTCCTCTTGTGGCGGCAGCAAGGCGAGTGGTGGCACAGGCGCCGAAAGCAGTATTGGTGATGCGAGGGGCGAGTTCCTAGGCGTTTGCCTCGGTGTGTGTGTTGGCGTGGCCGTATTGAGATTGAAGTACGCGGCAAGGGATGATCCCGCTGCTGATGTTGGAGCGGCGGTCGAGTCGCCCATTGATTGCTTGGCCGGCGAGATGGGATTGGACTGCGGTGAGTTGTTGGTGGACAGCTGCTGCATCGCTCTCGAGAGCGGCGCGACATTGTGCTGTGTTGTTGTTCTAGTTGAGCCAATGCCGCTCTGAAGCATCTGTGGCAGCTTGATCGTGGGTGTATACAGCGCGCCAGCCACTGGCTTGGTCGTCTGGGATATGATGTTCGTTGCCATGGGCGATGGTGCATAGTGCGGCGTGACATTGGCTGTGGCTGTCGTGTACAGGTTTGTCGGTTGGTGGCTCGTTATCAACGAGTGGGTGATGGTGAGCAGCTGCTCCTTTTTGAGCTATGTTGGTGTGAAGCGACACGCCAGCGCGGGCGCATGTGAGAGGGGCATGTCAGTACATGAACGAGCGGATGTAATGTCATTGCATCAAGGAGTCGCAACCTAACGGCCATTGAATCCTTGGGACTCAAGGCCAAGCCATTAATCATTCGTTCGCGTGATACTTACAGGTTTGAATAAGAAATGAAGACCTTGGTTGGAGAAGGATTTCTTTTGCTTGTTGGTACACATCACGACAAGGGGAGGATTCCTGTTGCTCTTTGACGGGTCGGACTTGAGTTGCTTGATCTCATCGATATTCAATCCAGGCAACTATAAATAATTGATTGATTGATTGATTAATTAAATAATTGATTGATTGATTGATGCTAATCAATTTGGTAACTTACCATTGCATCGATAAATATGATGCTAATATCCTTCTCGACGCCCAGGATAGACGTGGCAATGATGGCGCTGGGCGCCTTTACGATGGTCAGACCGATGGGCTCCAGGTGCATCTCGATCGCTTCAATGATGTTGAGGTTATCGTCCACCACCAATGCTTTGTGTCCTGTGCCCCATTTTGATTGTGCAGTCCTCATGATACTGCTACCGCCACT